TGCTCCCCCTGAGGATGAGACTGGCTAGCCCCACAGAGCAAGTGGCCCAGAGGGTTCTTTCTGGGCCTGCTGGGGAAACTGCTTGGAATGATATCAAGGTGCCCCAGTGTGGGCACCTGGACTCAGCTTAGTCCATCAAACAGAAACTCAATGCCTGAGATCTCTGATCCCACCTGAGCCTCAGTTTGTCCTGTATGAAATAGGTATTTATGCACAGTGAGCTTCAGTGAGGGTTGGTATACAGGCACTGGTTGATTTTCTAGGTATTGGCATCCCATGAACATTGACAGCTCAAATTTAAGTGTTGGGAGTGGTATCACAAGAGGAAGCCTAGAAACATAGGGTCCTCTCTTGGGAACTCCACAGCTTCCTGAAAGGCAAGGGGTTGTCCAGGGTCAGAGAGTATACATATATATTAAATCCAAGGAGCTGGCAGAGAGCCCATTCCAGGTGGGTAGAGAGAGACAGCATCAGGAAGAAAGACCGCTGGGCTTCTAGTCAAGCAGATTTGAACCACCAGAAAAGTGGGTGTTCCATTTAAGCCTGAAGGGATGAAGGTATCCAGGCCCCACTGGAGGGAGGAGTCCAGAAGGCATTTGGGTGATGGGCTATGGACTTGGGCTATCTTCTTCAACACTTCCACAATCTCCTAAGTTAGCAACCTGTTGACAGTTACACAGTAAGGGTGATCTGGGCCAGGGAACCCAACACAAGTCTCTGCTCTCCCTACCCCATGATGTTGGTCAATTTGTGCCAGGATGGAGCAAATGCCAGAAGGTTCAAGTGCCCCTCTGTGGAGGTTCTCAATTCAATTAAGCCAATTAATGTCTGAAAGATGAAAGAGCACAGAAATGGTACGTTCCCTGCCCTTTCAATGCCTACAGGCCGTTCTCGGCAGCCAGCCCATGCCGGAAACTCTGTCAGGCCTGCAGAACTGATAGGTCCTCACTTCTGTTCTTAGCCATTTCAGTGATGGCTGCTGTCCTTATTCAAACTGGGAGAGGCCATCATCCAGGCTTATAGACAACCCGGTGATGAAAAAAATGCATATGCCTTCTGCTTTCTCTAGCACCTCCTGTTTGCCCTGTGGCATGTTGAGTTTATGAAGATAAGAAAGTCAGTTTGAGTGCACATCCCTAGCCCACTAACCTCATGCTGTCCAGGACAGTGCTGCTACCTCCCAGAGCTCAAGCTCCTCTTTTATGGGCCAAGCCCTCATTCACTCATTCTTTCAGTTCCTGTCAGAATCTGGGAAAGACCACTGTGTGCCCTTCAGTCAACTCAATGGTCAACAAAGCATTGTAAGACTTAAGGGAAAGGTGTTCGTTATGTACGGCTGGACTAATGGAAGTATGAATGGACTGCAAGATCTAGCTGGCAGAGACGTTCTAGAAAATGTTCCATGGGAACTGTGACTAATGGAGGCCATTGGAAGTCAGCAGGTGGTTATGAGAGAGAAGGGTGTGTTGTCATGGTTGAGAGATTGGTCTCTGTGGCAGAGTGAGTTGTGGCCATGGGTAGGCCAGTGTGGGGTACCGGGAACAGGCCAGGGGCATGGGAGGATATAGAAAGTGCTTTGGACGAACTTGGCCTTTTGCTTGATTGGTGCTGGGGACTGAACTCTACAGCAGGATCAGTCATGAATTTTAGGAAGAGTTATCTGTGGTAGTAGTGCCTAAACCAGGGAAGGAGGTAACTCAGGACAGCATGGTGATCAGTTGCCTTTATGTAAATCTCTGTGGTAGTAGACAAGATGTGGGGTTTACTCGATAGGAGATGGGAAAGAACGATCCAGCAATGGCTGTCAGGCAGGGTCTCAGGGGACACTGAGGTGAGGAGGACAACTTGACTCCAAGATGGTGGCAAAGGGGCAGGGATGCTGTGAGCTCCATCAGAAGCACTGACTTCACCTTCCTACCCAGGGTCCTTACTGTGAGTCACCACCTCAGATCCAGCTCTATCTACAGAAATGACAGCACCCCAGTCAAAAGCAGCCCTACACTACAGGTCAGGGACAGGGAGGAGGAGGGGGAATCACAGAGATGTTTTACATGAAGGAAGCCCTGGATCCCTGGAGGAGGCCTGGGTGACCTTGGCATTGGCCTGCAGATACCTGCTCTGAAGACCATGCACCATCTCAGAGCCCACCCAACAGGCCATTTACTGCACCCCTCACCAAGCCCATGAGCAGCCCCAGGTGGACAGAGCAGCTGAAAAGATAAATGGGCTCCTGAGGAGCGAAATTCTCCATCTGGCTTCCCTTTCCAAAAGAGCCCCTGTGGAGTCCTTAGGCAGCTCAGTTGGGGACATGCAGGTCCCCAGCTGGGATCCTGGGGCTACAAGCAGAGGGTGAAGGAATGCGGGCCTTGCTGCAGGACCTTAGGGCCTGAGGCAGATGCTGGTCACCCCTTCACCAGGGCTGGAAGGGCCTGAGGGCCCGTGAGGACCCTCCCAACTTTTCATTAGCCAGTGCCCTGCACACACAGCCCCATTGATCAGGCCTCTCCTAGCAGCCCTGCCTGTTGAGGACCTAAGAAGCTGACTCACAGGGGTGCTGTGCTGGCCCAAGCTGCCAGACTCATCCATCTTCTCTAACAGCTGGCAGACTTGGGGGATGGCAGAAGTAGGGGACAGAGTTCAAACATGACAGGTACACCTAGTTGCTGTGCACTGGGGCTGCAGGGGGCAGCTGGAGCTCAGGTGGGGAGGAACTTCACCCTCGGGTAGTGAGGATGCCGCCCTAAGCTAAGGTTCCGGGACAGGGGAGGGAGAGAATATCTGGGAACACAAGAGGAGCAGGTATCAGTGGAAAGCTGCCATTGCCACCTTGAGCTGTCCAAAGACAGCATTACCCCCTCACCGAGCCTAAGCTTCTTGTACTGACAAAAGGGAATGATTTTTGTCACCATCTCCTAAGTGGCTGGCCACAGTGTGCCACGGGACATGGGTGAAAGAAGTGTGCTCTGCCTAGCTTCCCTTGGGCCCATTGCTTGTCCCAGGCATCCCTGAGAGCAAGAGCAGTTCTGGTGCCTCCTGCTTAGTCAAGCAGAAGGGCCTCAGTCCCCACCCCGCCCTTACCCTCTGTTCATCTGCTTCCCCTCCTTCCAGTCTTTTCTCCCCCTTGCCCTTCCTAGGAGACCTTCCCTGAGACCCCACGACTTTTGGCCTCTGAACCTAACCTTATTTCTGTAGCTCAACTATACAGAGAAGGAATTCGTTTACTCTTATTGATCCCTAGTCAATAAAGACTGTTTCAGACATAGAATAGACATTCAGTATTTGTCAGGGGACCACCTGAAAGAACTGGCAGGACAGATGTACATGGGAGTGAGAGAGAGTGATGAAGGCATCATGTGTCTGCCATTTTGTTCCCACATCTTCTGGAAGTTAAGGCTCCTCCATGTATAAAGTGGGTAAACAGTTAATGTTTAGATGCCCAAACTTGTAAAATGGTGACCATTTGGGACGGACGTTTTGATTTTTTACTAGCATTGCTTTCTTTAAGAAGTGGCATGATTACATTGAAGTACTTATAAGAATTTGAAAATGGAGTGGAATGGCAAATTCTCTTTATAGGTACAGTGACAAATTTTACATTGTTGTTGAATATTGTTTACTGACAAAACTCAAATATCTAACCCATTGGGACCTCCTAAGTGAACACCATGGACTTAGCCACCCCAATTTTGACTTTATAAAGCCCTTTTGCCTTTCTTCTGAGCTCTGCATTATTGTGTTTCCATGGGTGGGTCTAGATCAGAAGCTTGGATGGATAGCAAAGCCCTGCTTTCAAGAGGAACATTCTGAGCTAGAAGTTTCCTCAAAGGTGAGAGGCTCAGTGCAGGCAAGCATGTTGCCAGGAGGGCTGTTTGCTGATATTAAGGCCAAAGCCATGTGCCCTGAGACTAATTCAGTTTCCTTGGGGGAATGCTCCTCCTTACACACAGGCAAAGCTGGGCAGGGCTATAGGCCAGCTGAGGCAGGGGGACAGGTCCAATAGGGACCAATGATCCCACTGTCAGATCCCATGAAGCCTGCAGAGGGCAGCCTTGGGGACAGTAGTTTCTTAGGTAAGGTGAGGGACACTGATGTGAGAGGATAGAGAGAACGACAATCCTCATGATGCCCTACAAAGGGGTATGGTCGTACAGCCTGGGAGTGGGCTGAATGCTTTCAGCAGGGAAGACCTTTGTCATCCGGGGCGTGGAAGTACCACTGGGGAGCAGGGTGTTAACAGAGTCACCAGTGACCTGTGCCCACTTTTGGCTTTCTCCTGTATGCCCTATCCTGGTCCCCTCCACTTTCATTCCCTTTATCCCCATCCTCTTCTTCCTGTCCCTGCCTCCTTCTCTCCTTGCTTCCCTCACCCTTTGCTTCCCCTCTGCCTACCACTGGGCCTCCTCCCTTCCTCCCCCGGCACCCAGGTACCCTGAGGGCTTCAGAAACACGCTGTACACTCAGACTTGACCTGGAGCCCGGCTGGCCCTCTCCTTGGCTCAGTCTATCCCCTGAAGCCCTGCACAGCCCAGGCCTGAAACTGTGAGCCACTGAGGACTGCTGGGGATTTAGAGCATGGCGGCTGCATTGGGCAAGTCCTAACCAGGCAAGAACGGAGAGTGAGGTCGGGTGGGGGCAACCACGGAGCTGATGGTTATGAGCACTGATCCACTGTGCATGGGAGGCAAAAGCAGCTGCTGTCAACCCCAAATGTATTGCCTTACCTCTGAGGGGTTTCCAGGTGGACTAAAGGGGCAATGAGAGCTGGCTGGTGCTGGTGGCAGGAGGACCCTACTACTCCCTGCTCCCCTACCTAACAAACCCTCCAGTCCTGGGTACTCATGATAGGTAGGACTAAGGGGCTGTTCTGGCAGGCAGGGCCTGGAAGGTAGATTTGGCACCTAGTGAGTCACTGAGTGATGATGGGCAGAGTATGTCCCAGAACCTTGAACTTTAGTTTTGTCTGAATGACTCTCCTGGCCTTTCTCACTTCCTTCTCCCAGGTGTCCACACTTAGCGTCCTTCCCACCACCACCTTGCCTCACCTCAGCACTAGGATCTTAGGTGGCCACCTGTCCCTAGCTGCAACCAAGCTGAGGCTGCACCTGTGAGAAGACTTGACAGGCAGCATGGGTGAAATGGCGAACAGTTCCATCGAGCTCCACTCCAAGCCCCAGCAGCCACGGGAGACACCCCATGTGGGTGGCTTTGGGTGCACGTTGGCGGAGCTACGCAGCCTCATGGAGCTCCGAGGGGCTGAAGCATTGCAGAAGATCCAGGAAACCTATGGAGATGTCAGTGGACTCTGTAGGAGGCTGAAGACATCGCCCACTGAAGGTAAGTCCCTCAGGCTAGGTGGGGCAGGGGAGCACAGGGCCTGCCTTCCTCCTGGGCACAGGGCTCTGCAGTGCTGCTGCTATGGTTGCCTTGAAGGGGTCTGTGGAGGTCCAGGTGACCCTTGGAGGACACAGAAACAGGACCCTGATTGTGTCCCCTGCTCAGCTACTTCTGTGTGAGTGGGACACATTCTGTACAGGGGGAGGTTGTCATTCTCTGGGAACTGAATCTTGAAGGGGTGACTTGAGCCCTCATCCACACCTCTGTGATCAGCTCTTCTCCACACTACAAGAGAGAAAAAAGAGGGAGGGGCAAATGGGAACCACTAAAGGCACAGGGCTCAAATGGAAACCCTGGACTCCTTCCTAAGAAACAAGATAGTGCCAGGTGCGTGTCCTGCTGAAGGAGGAGGAGGAGGTCATAGCCTCTCTCTGTATATTTGGGGTTCCCTGTGTGCTTACACCTGGGTTCAATTAAGAGGAACCAGAAGAAGGGACGCAGTATGGAAGCCCTCTGGGGCAGATTACAGGAGTCCTCTCTGTGGGAAGGGAGGGTACCTCAATAATGAATGGCACAGGGACATTTGAGACTGGTGGGAAAGGGGGACCAAAGTTACTGCCCAGTAGTCACAGGGCACCATTAGAAGTGGCAGTGGGGGCTGAGGGAGTTGTGCAGTAGGTAAAGTACTTGCCATGCAAACATGAGGACATGAGTTTGGATCTTTAATACCCATGGAAAAAGCAGAGCATAGAGATAGGTCTGTAATCCCAGCACTGCAGAGGCAGAGACAAGAGGATCCCTGGAATTTTTTTAGTCAATCAGTATAGGCAATCAGTGAGCTCCGGGTTCAGTGAGAGACCCTGCCTCAAGCAGGTGGAGAGCCATTGAGAAAGATACCAGACATTGACCTCTGGCCTTTGCATGCATGGGCACACACACGGGCACACACACACACACACACACACACACACACACGTACACACAGAATACACAGAAATAGTAATGGTCGGTCATAGTCTGTCCTAGAGAGGCACAAGCCTGAGGCGGTACAGCTCTCACACCGGTGAACCTCTAGAGAGAAGATCTGGGGTGGGAGTCCCCACCTCCCTGGTGCTGGGGTCTGCTGTGAAGCAGGGGTCCCCAGGGAGCCAAGCCCAGCCCCACATTTCAGGAGCTGAAACTCTTTCTGGTCCAGCTGGCACTGGCCTGGCAGTGTTGCCAGGGCTATCCCAGCCTGATGCCAGGCCTGCTTCCCAGCCAGTGCTGATTGATTTCGTCAGCTGCCCGTCTCAGTGGCGGCACTTTGGCCTACCCAGTGCTGCTAGTCCTGGCCACCACCTGGGTTTCTTCTGCTTCCTGGCTCCCCTGTCCCATCCATCACCAGGCCTTGCTTTCCTGGTTTCTAAATCAATCCTTTGGTTGCAACACACATGCCCCATTGCCTCCAGCCTCCTTGCTCTGCCCTTGACCCCACTCAGAGTCTTGAGGGCACACACTGGATGCTATTATTCTAGCCTCGCCCAACTAAATTACAGAAAGCATCATCTGTCCATAGGCAGCAATACAATGGGCCCAGGGGAGTAGTAGAGGTGGGAGAAGGCAGGTCTGTGGGCCAGGTGACTCCAAGGTACAGTGGGCTCCCTGGGCCATCTGGGCCTCCTAATACTGTGAGGCTACTGTACCCACGGATACCCTGTCCTCCCTGCATGCTGCACACACCAGCCTGGAGCAGTGTTCTGTCAGGGCAGATGGCTGGGCTCTATGCCAAAGGATGTCTATCCTTCCTCTTCCTTGCCCACCCCCCTGAGGACTTGGGGCCTCTGAGAAGGCTAGGGTAGAGGGCCATTTAGCCACAATGGCTCTGGCCTCTCCTAGATCAAAGGAAGCAGGCGGGCTTTGGCTGGCAGCTCTTCCCTCTGCCTGTCAGGCCTTGTTAAATATTTAAAATGTCAAGGCCCCTGGGAACCTGCCCGATTCTGCCACAGAACTCCAGAGCTCCTCTGGTGCCTGTGGACAGGGTAGGCGTGGAGAAGAGCAGGTGCCCAGGTGGGTGGCCCAGCTACTGACAGGTTTCTGAGACCCTGGGTCCCTGTGGCAGTCCAAAGACCAGCCCTTCCTCTCAGGCTCCTCAGGCCCAGCTGCCTAAGGCCTGGAGCAGGTGACTCTCACTCCCCCATTCCCTCTGCACCACAAGCCTTGGGCAGGCAGGCTTCTCTGGAGGCCTTCTCTGTGGGAGGAACAGGCTTAGCTGTTCTTCCAGCACCATGCTGCCCCCCTGGTGCCCAGGAGGGGCTTGAGAGAGGGCAAGGTAGGTATGTGGCGTATCGGTAGAGAGGACTTTGGCAGTTAGAGCATCAGTTCACTGCTCTCAGTCTCTGGAGACATCCAGAAGGATTCCAGACCTGTCCTGAAGAAAGGCTCATCTGTCGGTCAGGCACCTCAGCATAGGCTGGCTAAGGGGCCCTGGGTCCTACCCCTGTCCTGTCTACTCTCCACAGGCAGTCAAGAGAAGGAGGGGGCAGATTAGCTAAGAGCCGACACAATGCAGTCCTAATCCAATTCTGATGGCATCTGGCCTCTGCTCTGGGCAGGCAGCCCATCTGTGTCCATACCAACTGGCCAGCCCCTGCCCCCCATGCCTTGGACCCCGACTGCCTAGGGCCTACTAGGTGGGCACGTGCTTTGTACCAGAGGGGCCATAGCTGCCTCCCCTGCCACGCCCCCCTACACACACGCACATGCACACGCATAATGGTACTGTAGCAGTTGTGGCAGCTGTCAGGACCCCCAACTGCATAGGAAGGCCAAAGCCTCAGGGTTAGTCTGAGGGCAGCTGCCAGTCTCAGGCAAGGTGGGGGGAGCATTTTTGCAGAGGCAAGGGCGATTCAAGGCCGATAGCAAGGCAGCAGAAGGGGAGGGAGCGAGCTCCTAGGGGAAGGGGCCTAAGAGCCCCACTGCCCTTGAGGACAATCTGGGCATGTGAAGTAGGACAGGTGGAAAGCAGATGCATGGTGCTGTGGGACTCATGGGCTTTCTAGAAGCTAGAATGGGCTTCTGCCCTCTTTGGGGGCTCAGGACAAGGCCAATGGAGACCTCAGGGGCTCAGGGTTCTGGTGCCTCCCACTTAATGACCCATCTCTCATAGCTCTAGCTCCTGCAGTTGAAGGAGAAAAGGCCTAATCTGGAGGAAGGGCTGGGCCCCTCAGTTTTGTTCCTGTTCCTGCTACCACCAACACAGGAGCAGAGGTCTCCCAGACACCTTACTGGAGAAGCTGTGGGCCTTCGGAAACAGTCCTTTGGCCCCGGCAGAAATCTGAGCTGCCAGCCTAGCCCAGGCGCAATGAGGCCAGACAGAGAAAGGCAGGGACAGCTGCAGTCCTTCTGGGTGGGAAGGACACTGTGTGGCCATCGCCTAGCTGGGGTGGACGTGCCAAGGCTGTACCGGCTGCAACTTGCTCTTGTCAGTCCTTCTACTTCATCGGAGCCCCACCCTACCGCTCTGCAGAAGGCCTACTGTCAGCACTTCCTTGTTGGCGAGTGGTCTGTGGCTGAGACTTCTGAGCTTTCCGCAAACCCAGCCTGCTGTGCGTGCCCCATGGGTTGGATGGCCCTTCCGCTCATTCCCGGCTCCTTCAGCAGGTGGCAGGAGGGATGCCAGTTACTCTGGCTGGAACTGCAAGCTGCCTTCCAACCACTAGGTGTCAGTGTGCGACTGGGCACTTTGGGGTGTAGGACTGGGGGTCTGTGAGAACTTGGGTAGAACCTGAGCCAGCCTGTACTGAGAAGTCTGAGAGCCAAGAGCAAGGGGGTGGCATCGTCTCATTTGCCTGGAGTCTACATAGAGGTTATCTTTGGGGTCCTGGAGCCATGGTTGAGGCCTTTTCTGCCGCTGGGCCCTGCACTGATTAAAGTATCTCAACTGCTTAAGACTGAAGCGTCCTTTGCTGGAACTGGCTTTCCTCTCTTCTCTTCTCCTTGTTCTTTGCTTGGTGGCTTAGGAACAAAGAGCCATTGACAGTCTCATGAGGAGGGGTAGCTCTTGAGGAGGCTACCCCTGACTTTGGCAGAGTGGTTCTAAGTGGAACTGAAGCCACCATGTTCGTGCAGTCTCCAGCCCAGGGCCCAAGGTTGCCACAGGGCCAAACTCCAGGAAGGTGTTAGGTATGGGGGAGCCATCTGCCTAAGCATTGTGGACCCTAGGCCTTGGCTCGCTTCTCAATGAGGCACTATCATCCTGAGCAGGGCAGCAGTGAAAAGTTCCTCCTCCCCTCTGTGGCACTGGCCATTTCCATCTCCAGCCTCAGTGTCCTTCTCTAGGGCTGGTGGACAGAGTCCCTCCCTCCCCACTGTGGAGTGGCCTCCCTTCACAGCCTAGGGGCTCAGTTCCCTGGATACAGCTGAGGTTGAGATGCTGCTGGCCTCTGCCCTACCTTTTCCCTGCTTGCCCCATATGGCCACCTTGAGGGGCTTCCGGAGCCCCTCTCTTCTCCCATGACACTGTCAGTCCCCTTATGTACATCTCTGGACTCAGGAACTTGCTCTTAAACTACCTTTCTTTGCTCCTTTCTTGAGGAACTCTTGAAAGACCTTCAGTCTGTCTCCAAAAGTCCTTGTTCTGTCCTCCTCAGCAGTCATGTTTCTGGACACTCCCATGTCCCTGGGTCCTGGTTCCTTTGTGCCTTGCCCTCCTTTGCGGGTTAGGTTATGCAACTCTTGTGTGTCTTTGGAAATAGTAGGCCATGGTGTGAGGTGGCAAAGGCCCAGGAGCTGCCTGGCTCTCGGGGTGCCAATGTCTCAAACGCACATTCTTATCTTGAAGGCCTGTGTGGGGTCCAGAGACCAGCACTCTGAAGGAGACAGGGAATCCAGGTGTTGGGAGACAGAGAGCTTGTCTGGCCCCTTCAGGGAGGTCCCTGGCCACTTCTTTGGCAGTTGTGTCAAACTAGGCCAATATTGCTTGGATCCCGTTGATTGGTGACCTCCCCACAAACCCACTGAAACCACCTGGATGCTGGTTCGCACCCCTCCACACCCAGGGAGCCACTGGCTGTTCTATTCTACCCCTGTCTCAGCTACCCTTGGTCACATAGGGGTCTCACTGGGTCCTTGCTGCCCCTCCCTCTTCTTGAGTATATCACTTCACTGCCAGTGCCCCTCACAGATAGCTTGGAGGTAACATGACAGTAGAGTCCAATTGAGAGAACAGAAGACACATGCCCTGGGTTATTGTTCCAGCGAGGGAGACAGCCACAATCCCAAGGCCTCTCCAGTCCTGCTTTCTCATTAGTGCATCAGGAGACTGGTGACCCCCCTTCCTGAACTCCCCTTTCTCAGGCTAGGGACTCACTGTGGTGCCTGTGGATACCTGCACCCTTATCCCCCCATGCTTGGTCCCTACGTCTCCAGAAAGGCTCATAGCAGCAGGCCTTTGCCCACTCTGCCTTCTCCAAGCATTCACTCCAGAGTTCCAGAGAGGCAGGCTCTGGCCAGAGAAGCCCAAGGGTCAGTCTTGTAGAAGCACCTTGAACTTAACTTGTGCCATCTCCTGTGCCTCTGCTGCTCTCCCTGTAGGCCTGGCAGACAACACCAATGATTTGGAGAAGCGCAGGCAGATCTACGGGCAGAACTTTATCCCTCCCAAGCAGCCTAAGACCTTCCTGCAGCTGGTGTGGGAAGCCCTGCAGGATGTGACTCTCATCATCTTGGAGGTGGCAGCCATTGTCTCCCTGGGCCTCTCCTTCTATGCACCACCTGGAGAGGAAAGTGAAGGTGAGGGCCAGGGCTTTGGGCTGGAAGGCGGGTCTCAGAATGTTCCAACCCTTGGCTCCCATGACTTCACTCTCCTTCCCTTCTCTTCTCCATCGTCGGGCACAGCCTGTGGGAATGTGTCCGGTGGGGCAGAGGACGAGGGAGAGGCTGAGGCTGGCTGGATTGAGGGAGCTGCCATCCTGCTTTCTGTCATCTGTGTGGTGCTGGTCACGGCCTTCAATGACTGGAGCAAGGAGAAGCAGTTCCGAGGTCTGCAGAGTCGCATCGAGCAGGAGCAGAAGTTCACGGTCATCCGGAATGGACAGCTCCTCCAGGTCCCTGTGGCAGCATTGGTGGTAGGGGACATTGCCCAGGTCAAGTATGGTAAGTGTGCCTATCTTCTACTCACCCTGCCAAGGAACTGTCTCCAGCTCAAGCTGTCTCCCCAGTAGTCTGTGTGTTTTCACCTGCAGAGGCCTGGAGATGGGAGCATGGGGCTATGAGGAGGGGCAGAAATGGTATTTGAGACACAACAGTGACCACAAGAAGCAGGCTGACCTTGCCGCCTCTGAGGAGGTCTTCTCCCACTACTGCAGAATGCAAGCGTTGTCCTATTCCCTGAGAGCTACATAACACAGTTAGGAATAGCTGATCCACCTCAGAGGAGGAGGCTGAAAGAAGAGAGCTCCCCAGTCCTTTCCCAGAGGACAGGACCTGCCCTGGGAGAGGTGGGAGGAGGCAAGGGTGGGGAGCTCTTGTAGACCCATAGCCTCTGGTTCTGGCCTCGACTGGCCTGTAGGAGACCTGCTGCCTGCCGATGGCGTGCTCATCCAGGGCAATGACCTCAAGATTGATGAGAGCTCCCTGACTGGCGAGTCGGACCATGTGCGCAAATCAGCAGACAAAGACCCCATGCTGCTCTCAGGTGAGGACAACCTTCCCAACCAACCCACTGTAAGATCACTTTGGAAGCCATTTGACCCAAGATCCCCAACCAGACTGACCTGTGGGACTTGCCTCAAGGAGGGTCACCCTGAATAGCCCTTCTGGTTAGGGCGTCAGAGAATGCTACCCACTACCAGGCCAGAGGGAGTCACTGGAGGCCTGATGGTGGTGGCTCCGGCCACAAGGGAAGGATGTGGACCTTAGCACTCAGGAGGGCTGTTGGTGTCATGAATAGGAAGTCCCAAGGGGAGGAGCTCGCTGGGCTTCAGATTCTGGAGATGATCCAGTGGGTGCAGTGTTCCCTCTCCAGGTGGTTCTTGTTCAGCCCAATTTTATCACACTGAGAAATGTAATGTAAAACCGGGCAGAGGCCCCTGTGAATGGCTCACTATGCCTCTGGCAAGGACCTGCTACTCTTTGGGCCTCTGGCTTGTTCCCACCACCCTCAAACCCAGAAATAGACTGCAGTCTAAGTGTAGGGGTCAACAGTTCCAGTGTCCTCTGCAGGCCAAGTCCCTGTCTCGGGAAAATCCTGGGAACAAGCCCATGGGTGCTAAGCATGTCCCATCCAGTTGTGCAAATCTCTATCTCGGTCTTTCTGTGTTGCTCTGCCAGGCACCCATGTCATGGAAGGTTCTGGAAGAATGGTGGTGACGGCTGTTGGTGTGAACTCCCAGACAGGCATCATCTTTACCTTGCTTGGAGCTGGTGGAGAGGAGGAGGAGAAAAAGGATAAGAAAGGTAAGCAGCCCTCTTCTGATTCTTCTTGGGGACCCTTCTGCTATTTTTACTCAAAAGCCAGCAAGTCATGAACCCCTCCAGATCTGTGTAATGGAAGCTTGCCTTAGATGGTTGTTCCCTGAAGGCTTTAGTACAACTGTCCCTGGGGTACAGTGTGGTGGTCACAGGGATATAACCACCTGCCTTGGCTTTGAAAGATGTTGCTGGGGTCCTCATGCCCACCCTCAGGGTGCTCAACTCCCATGGGGAAGATCATGAATGAGAGTCACAAAGTCAGAAGTGAAGTCTCCAGAGTAGGAAGGATAGGACTCTCAGAAGGACAGCCAGGGCCAGAGGATGTTGGGAGGGGTGGGTTAGGCTCTCTAGCAAGTTTTAGTTCTGGCCCTGGGGACACCAGTGACTAGAGACAGATAACTTCAGAGAGCTCAGCTTCCTTGTGGTCCTGGTGTCCCTGGTACAAAGCAACCCTACTGCCCCCCAGGTATGGCCAATGTGCCCTATGGCCCTCAAAATTGTAGAGTTACAGAGCTGCCCCACAGGAGACCCCGTTCCTCTATGACTCAGGCACACACACTGACCCTGGTGGGCATGAGTCCTCAGGCCTTTCCCACAGCCCTGTGTCACTGGGGAACTGACATTTCCAGATGTGTGCCTGCCATCTGAGAGGACCTAGAGCCAGAGCACTCAGTCTCAGTTAAGTAGGGACAGGTTCACGTAAGGGAGGACAGCAGCCCCAGTCTTGGGCCACCTCTTGAAATTCCTTGCTTCTGGAGGTAGGGAGACAGGAGCTGAAGAAGCTGTCACCTAGAAGCTTCCATTGACCTTGTCTTTTGGCAATCTGTGCCTGTGTCTCCCCATATGGGTACCTCCCTGCTGCTGGCAAGCCAGATCCTCTACCATCTACAGCAAATCTCCTGTCTCCACAGGGCTCCTCCCAGCATCATCCCACAACTCCCATGAGTGCCCTCGGAATGCACAGGCAGATGATAGGTGGGCCTTGAGCCTCAGCTGAACTCAGCTGGAGTCCCCAGGCTAGGTGATCTTGCCCAGTGCCCTCTTTGTTCCACCTAGTTGACAAGGACCCCTTTCCACATAGGGCCCTCCAGGGAATCCACCACTTCCGCCCTGCAGCTGAGGGACTCTCCCTTGGGCTGCTATAACTCCCATTCTCCTTGTGTCCGCTGTGGTTCATTTCCAAGCTCCTGGCCTCCTGCCCTGTCTCTTAAATGTCCTTCCCAGCCTGATCGTAGGCCCCATCCAGCCCCTCCTAGCACTCCTAGGCTGTGTGACTTAGAGGTCAGAGTGGACCAGCTTCCTGGAGGAAGGGTACCTTGAGGGGTGGGGGGAGCAGCAGCTGTTTTGTACTGTGTCTCTCTCCCCTCTCCCACTGTCTCCCTTACTCCTGTGGATCTGCCAGCCTACTGTGCATGCTCTGTTGCTGCTCCCTGTCTACCTGCCACCCTCCCCCTCTACTCCTGCCTTCTGACCATGAGTCCTGTGTATCCTTTTCCTCCAGAGTCCCTCCTTCCCCTCTGCGCCGCCTCACCCCAGATCACTTCTGATAATACTCACCCCAAACTTCTCCCTCCTTCCTCTGGAGCTCCTGCTCTCCCCATTGGCAAGTGGGCTCTGTAATCACCCTTTCCTTGGATGCCCATAGCCTTAGGATTTCCAGTGAGGCACTCCTTCGTGTGCCGTGCTGTCATTGCACTGTCATCCTGTGCCACGGGAGTTTCACCTCCACCCTTAGAAATCTCTTTCATGGGGCTGGAGAGATGCTTCAGCAGTTAAGACTTCTTCCTGCCCCTCCACAGGACTGGAGTTTGCTTCTCAGCACCCATGTTGGGAAGCTCACAACTGCCTATAATTCCCGCTCCAGGAGATCCAACTCCCTCTTCTAGCTTCCATGGGCATGCACACACATACAGCATACATTCATACAAACACATGCGCATAAATTTTTTTTTTTGTCTTTTTGAAGCAGGGTCTCCCTGTAGCCCCAGCTGTCCTGGAACTCACTATGTAGATCAGGCTGGCCTTGAACTCACAGAGATCCGCCTGCCTCTGCCTCCCAAGTGCTGGGACTACAGGCGTGCGCCACCACGCCCGGCTCATCGCATAAATTTTTTAAAAAATCTTTTTTTAAAAAAACAACCAAAGGGGCTGGAGAGATGGCTCAGTGGTTAAGAGCACTGACTGCTCTTGCAGAGGACCCGGGTTCGATTCCCGGCACCCACATGGCGGCTACGAACCGTCCTTAACTCCAGTTCCAGGGGAATCCGAAGCCCTTCTTCTGACCTCCACGGCATTGCATGACACGGGTGCACTCACATACATGCAGGCAATATGCTCATACACATAAAATAAAAATAATAAAATATTTTTTTAAACCAACCAGAAAGTTGGGCATGGTGGCACACACCTTTAACCCAATACTTGGGAGGCCGAGGCAGGCAAATCTCTATGAGATTGAGTCCAGCCTGGTCTATATAGTGAGTTCTAGGCCAGCTGGGGCTACAGGAAGACCCTATCTCAAAAAACAAAAGATCAAAAACAAAAACAAACAAACAAAAAAAAAGAATTCTCCATCACCTCTGAACCACTCCCAAACTGCACAGGGGCCCTGAGCAAAAAGGGGTCAGTCTATGCCACACTTCTGCCTGGGAGACCCTCTGTCCCTCATTCTTGGAATGTCATTTCCTGGTCCCATTGCCTAGGAGCTATGTGATACCCTGTCTGTCCCTGAGTCCCCAGTAACATGAGCTGTTGGGTGGGAGTTGATCCTAGGCTAGCTATTTCCTATCTGGATGAGGACCAGTGCAGGTGTGACCCCCAGGCTATCTCCTCTCACTGCCGCCCCACCTGTGCAGCCCTCAAACAGCAGGCTGCAACCGCAACCTGAAACCCCAGATGACCACCTGGATTCCAGTCTGTCTGCCCTCTCCCCGATGCTACTGGGCACCCAGAACTCAGGCTTCCTCTGCACAGCGGTCCTGGACATACAAACAAGCCCTGTCCAGGGTTGATCAATGATGTGGAGGTACCCAAGAAGTTCCTGGGAGAGACAGAACCCTTATCCTTTTAAAACACAGAGAAAGAGAGAGAGAGAGAGAGAGAGAGAGAGAGAGAGAGAGACCAGGGGCTTGGGCCCCAGGGCTTAGGAGCTACCTCCTCCTGGGTTTAGAGGAGCAGACATCAGAGAGGGATTCAGCTTAAGACAGCAGGCCTTCCAGAAACTGTCCATAGCTGCCCCCACCTGACCCAGGGCCCAACCAGGGCTGGCTTTAGGGTCCTGTTCACTGTGGGGCTGGGGCCATGGCCTAATGGGAAGAAACCAGGTAAGCATTTGGCTCAGAAAGCCGAGAGTATAGGTGGAGATTACATGCTGGGAGATAGTGACAGTTTGAACATTGAAAGTACAGGACATCAAGAAGGCCCCTCTATAGGCAATATCAGGGCTATCAGCAATCAGGCCTCTCCTCCCCTCCCCCAACCCCATGTAGTCTCAAACGACTGTCTGTGCCCCAGTTCTCCCACTGTCCTGTGTCTCTGTGTGTGTCATGACCACATGGGTGTTCTCAAGTCTTCGTGTCTGTCATTCCTCTTCCATTGTAGGCAAGCAGCAGGATGGGGCGATGGACAGTAGCCAAACCAGAGGTAACGTGCGTGCATGGCTTAGGGCAGCTGAGGAGCCTGGGGGGAGGGGAGAGGGTGGGAGTGCAGGGAGGGGTCTCCTGCTGCCAGGGCAGAAGCAGCAGCTAAAGACAGGTGAGTGGGCTCCACAGTTCCACACTGGCTAGACAGTGGACACCCCTGGAGGCTGCTCCAGTTTCCATGCACAGATACTGCTGGAAACCTATTATCAGCCACCTAGGGGACAGGTAGCAGATGCCAAGGCCTCAGCGTAGCTTGAGCTTGTCCACAAATAAGAATTACCCATGAACAGGTGCCCTGTACCCACTTTGGCCAGATAAGAAAACTGAGGCACAGGGACTGGAGAGATGGCTCAGAAGTTAAGAACACTGACTGTTCTTGCAGAAGACCTGGGTTCGAATCCCAGTACCCACATGGCAGCTAACAACTGTCCGGAACTCAAATTCCAGGGGATCCAAGAGCCTCGTCTGCTCTCTGTGGGCCTTGCATGACGTGGGTGCATTTACCTACACGTAGGCAATACACACATACACATAAAATGAAAATAATAAAGTATTAAAAAAAGAAAACTGAGGCACAGACAGGGTGACTTGCCCAAAACTCTGGGTCCTAGTCCTGTGAGCTTCTCAGGTCATCCCCTTCCATCTTAGCCAATGGATCAGGTGACAGTGGCCACCCAAAGCGCAAAGCCTGGCTCTCCTCTTGGCTTTAAGTGTTTGGTGGGTGCTGACATTGTGAATGTGAAAAAGAAGTGACTAGATGGCAGGTTGTGGACCAGAGAGGAGAGGAGACATCAGGTAAATCAATGGTCAGTTATAGGTGATAGGAATGCAAAGGTAGATAGAGTATGGTCTTGGCCCTTGGCATGTTGCAGAGAAGGACAGTCCTCCAGTACAGCACGCTGTGAGCTGGTCTGGGAAATCAGGGACTCAGGGACTGACAGGCTCCAAATGAGAGGAGCCAACTACAGCTTGGAACATAACTGAGGTTGGGAGGGCTTTAGGGGCCAGAGGTATCGTGTTGGCTGGAGCCCTGGCTTGACAGAGTGATAGTAGGTGGGGGCTCAAGGCTAGAGAGGGCCAGTTGTCAAGGTCTGGCATGTCGTCAAGGCTGCTGGGAAAAAAGATCTATGGTGAATGATTTTAGGCTGCCAGGTGGAAAGAAGGGATCCAGGAGTGATGGCCATAGTGCCAAAGGCCCCCACTACATGGGATACAAGAATAAGGAAAGAAAAAGACAAACTGGGACTCCTGCTACTGCTCCGTCAGGCAGCCCTTACCTGAGGAGGAGTGGAAGGAAGTAGGTAGAGGGGCCATGACACTTTGACAGTGCAGCTATGTGAAGCCGGAGGTTGGCAAAGAGGGAGATGAGGAGGAATCTGTACCACCACCGGGAAAGGATAAGGAGCAAGGGACCCTCAGGGGAGGAGTAAGGAGAGCCACTTGATCCAAGAGGGAGGCACAGAAACAGTTGGACAGACAGAAAAGGCTAACCCACGCAGCCCATGGGAAGAGGCAGTCTGAGCAGGGAGTAGGGCTGGTTGGGCCAGGAGGAGAGTACTCCAGAGCCCCTCAGTGTCTCTGAGAGGAACATGGAGGTGGCTCAGACATCTGTGGGCAAATGAGTGCGCTTTTGCTTCTGGAACATTCCTTGGACCACAGGAATGCTCTCAGGTATTGAAATTTGGGGCATTCCAGGACTGGCAACCTTGTCTGTGTGCACGAGTTTCTTGTGCTTGTGTCTGTCCTCCCTTCCCACAAGAGAACCATCACTCAGTCCTGTGTAGGACAGTGCTGCAGCTGCCTGCCTACCTTGGGAAGGCGTGGGCTTGGGAGGCTACAGAGGAAGGCCTACAGATTCCCTTTGCCAGGCTAACCTTGGAAATTAAAAAGTGCTCATTCACGCCCACACAATGCAACGTCTTCCCCCGTGACAATCCTTGTAGCTCTTTCAGTCTTGCTAAGTCCCTAACCTTGGCCATGGGTTTCCTCTGTGTGTAGCTAAGAAGCAGGATGGGGCTGTTGCCATGGAAATGCAGCCCCTGAAGAGTGCTGAGGGCGGGGAAATGGAGGAGCGGGAGAAAAAGAAAGCCAATGTGCCCAAGAAGGAGAAGTCAGTCCTACAGGGCAAGCTCACAAAACTGGCTGTGCAGATTGGGAAAGCAGGTAAGTTGAACAGCAAGGCAGAAGGCCACAGTCTGGGGGACACTGGGATCCTAGAAGTATGCAAAGGTGGGCAGAGTGTGGTCCTAGTCCTAGACAAGGTCATGTGCAGAAAGATGGGCAGTACTCAGGTAGAGTGTGGTATGTACTCTAGGGCCAGACGTATAGGCCATGGCCAGCTATGGTTATCAGGTCTTGGCACAGCCTTCTTCAGTAAGGTCCAAGTCACACACTCACCTATTATCCAGAAGACTCCCTGATTCTAGGCTCCAGGTTTTGTTCATGTCAATTGAGAGGCAGCCAGATGCACGGAGGGCCCACTGACCAGAGCCATAACTTCTGAGGGTGGGTCGGCAGTGGCTGGTCCCTCACAGCTGTGCTTCTCATACTTCTGGGACCAGTCTGTCTGCTCTTTACCCCACGTTGTCCTGGGAAGCTGAAGCAAAGGCTATCCTAGGTCCCCTCACCCTGCTGAGTCACCCCCCAAGCTATTTATCCCAAAACATGACCCAAATCCATCAGCCCTTTGCCAAGGCCCTGGCCGGGCTCCGGCTAACTGCTGCTATAGTGCCCCTTACCTCTTCTTCTGTCTTTCTCTCCCCTTCACCCCTGGCGACCCCTCTCCACCGTGACTCGGCAGGGCTGGTAATGTCTGCCATCACTGTCATCATCCTGGTCCTCTACTTTGTGATTGAGACCTTTGTCGTGGATGGCCGGGTGTGGCTGGCAGAATGCACACCCGTCTACGTGCAGTACTTTGTGAAGTTCTTCATCATTGGTGTCACTGTGCTGGTTGTAGCTGTCCCTGAAGGCCTGCCTCTTGCTGTCACCATCTCCTTGGCTTACTCTGTCAAGGTAATAATAATAATACCTACAATTGAATCCATCACACAGACCCCAAAACTAGAATGGAGTGTCATTGAATGCCTTAGATGTCGTGGGGACTAGGGAAGGTTGAGCAGGGAATGGACTATGCTAACCCTTACTCACAGAGGGCTCCACTTCACCTACCTACCTTCACCTACCTTCACCCTGGGCACAGTGAAAGCAACCCAGAAACAGGCTGGGTGAGGGAGACTGAACGTTTGGCATCTGTGGAACGCACAGCAGAAAGAGTCAGAGGAACTGAGAAATAAGGCAGGTGGATAGGGGCCTCAGAAGAGGTCCTGGGACACTGGGAGGCAGTGAGAGAGCAAGGAAGAGCCAAGGGAGTAAGGGATGGGGGACATGGAGCCAACAGGCTACTAAAGAGGGAGCTTTGACAGACAGGTACCAGGCCAGCCATGTGGGCAGTAATGTCCTGCTCCCTGCTTGATAAGAGTCCCTGCACCTTATACACCTCATCCCTCAATTTGGTTGCCACTGTGTCCACTGAGGACCAAGGTCCCCAAATTGTCTATTAGTGTCATTCACACTGCCCTTATCCCAATGAGTAAACAACCAAAGTGCCCCACATCCCATCTATGCCCTTTATAGAAAATGATGAAGGACAACAACCTGGTACGCCACCTGGACGCCTGTGAGACCATGGGCAATGCCACAGCCATCTGTTCTGACAAGACCGGCACACTCACCACCAACCGCATGACCGTGGTCCAGTCCTACCTAGGAGACACTCACTACAAAGAGATCCCAGCTCCCAGCGCTTTGACCCCCAAGATCCTCGACCTCCTGGTCCATGCCATCTCCATCAACAGTGCCTACACCACCAAAATACTAGTGAGCAGAGCCAGGAGGGCAGGCAAGGGGGAGTGGGCAGGGCTAGGGGCATGGCATGAGCTATTCTAAGGTGTTCATTAGACCTTATAAATCTTTGGGGCCTGGGAGTATAGTTGAGTGGTATCAGTAAAATGTCTGCCTAGTATACACCAGGCCTTGAGTTTGACTCATCATACCACCACAAAAACAAAAGGTGGGGAAAGGGAAGAAAGGAGGGAGAGAGAAGAGAAAAAAGACCAAGGCTAAGGAGATAGCTCAGTTGGTAAGTGCTTTCCTTACAAGTTGAAGGCCTGAGTTCACTCCCCAGAACTCATATAAAAAAAATCCAGGTGTGGTAGCATGCTTGTAATTCTAGCACTGAGAAGGCACAGACAGGTAAATCACTAGGCCTTCCTGGCCAGCCTGTCTAGGATAATTGGCAAGCTCCAGTCTAGTAAAAGACCATGTGTCAAAAAGCAAGAAAAACTAAGAACTTTTGAGTAGAGTCTCTGGGGTGCTGGTTGCCTTCCTCCCTGTCCCTGGCATGACAGCGCTCTTGACACTGGATGCCTGTGGGCTCTAGAAATCCTTTCCAAGCCTAGTAAATTATGGGAAACCTGATCGTAAGGGGCCACTTTGTAGCCAGGGCCTGTCTAGTCCACATGGGTGGCCTTTGTGCCTTGCCATCACTCCCTAAACTTCATGGTGACCAGGGATGAATGGGAACCTTGGCCCTGGGGATGGCATAGAAGGTGCTCTGAGCCCTGGTACCATGCTAACTGCCCTCTCCTATAGCCTCCAGAGAAGGAAGGCGCTCTCCCTCGACAAGTAGGCAACAAAACAGAGTGTGCTCTGCTGGGTTTCGTCCTGGACCTGAAGCGTGACTTCCAGCCTGTGCGGGAGCAGATACCAGAAGACAAGCTATACAAAGTGTACACTTTCAACTCAGTCCGCAAGTCCATGAGCACAGTCATCCGCATGCCTGATGGTGGCTTCCGCCTCTTCAGCAAGGGGGCCTCAGAGATCCTGCTCAAAAAGTGAGTGGGTGACAGGAAGGAGCCAGGGGCTGGGCAGCTGGGGGCTAACTAATGGGCATGTAGAAAATTTCTGGTTTTATTTTTGTGATAAAGTAGACATAACATTCAATTGACCGTATTGGCCACTTTAAAGTGTACAGTTCAGTAGCATTAAGTATATTTGTAATGTTTACCATCATCACTATGGAGTTCCAAAACATTACCATCACCCCAAAAAGAAACCCCAGACCCCATTTAGGAGATGTTTTTTGCCCCCTTTCCAGCTCTGGCAAGTTCTGACCTGTCCCTATGGTTTTGCCTATTCTGGACATGTCATAAAAATGGAATTAAGTACTTTGTAGCATTTTGTGTCTGGCTTCTTTCACTGAGCATAACATCCTCAAGGTTCCTCATCTGTGAGAACTTCATTCCTATTGGCAATTGAACAATATTCCACTGTACAGACCAGACCACATGTGGTTTATCCACTCATGTCAACACATGAATCGGGACTGTTTCCATGTTTTGACTCTCGTGAATAATGCTATAACCATTCATGTACAAGTTTGCATTTGAGTACACATTTTCAACCATTTGGGATATGCACATCAAGTTACATGCTCTAAATATTCCCATTCCAAGTCTGGAGTGGTGGCGAATGCCTTTAATCCTAGCACTCAGGAGGCAGAGGCAGGCAGGTCCAAGGTCTCTGTGAGTTCAAGGCCAGCCTGGTCTATATAGTGAGTTCCAGGCCAGCTGGGGCTACAGGGAGACCCTGTCTTAAAAAGACCAAAAATAAAAACAAATCCCATTCCAAAAGGCAAGAATGGAAGCATGGAGATGAAGAGTGAGCCAAAGCAACACAGAAACCCAGCAGAACCTTAAATCTTGTAGCTCCATGTCAGATGGCATGTAGGGCGTGTAGCACTGTGTTATGAGCTATGAAGCACTGAGACAGCCTCTCCTCTCTGGCCTTGCCGGTCTCTTGGGCTGGCTGTGTGGCCTGCCTGCAGCTTTCCTCAGCAGGAGTTACGCACTCTTGGCATTCCCAACTTCCTCTAAGATCCACTGCACCTGCAGCTTTACCCTCACCGCTGTATGAGCCACCTGGATGGATCCTCACACTACCACGTATTGCCTGGCTACACAGACTTTCTCTTAAAATCTGAGTGGAAGCCCCCTCACTCTGCAGCTCTTTCATTCCGCATGGCTGCAAAATCAGCACCACATGAATGATGCCAAGATCAGCACCAGCTTGAGCTACATCTGGGCCTGTTTGAATGATGGGTGCAATGGCCTCTGAGTCCCTTCCTGGCGGAATGAGTGAGAAAATCCCAGGGAAACTGTTCACAGTTCACTAGACAATTTAGGACCAGCAGTCCATTCTGGAGCTCACTTCTCAAAAAGATTCTTCCCTAATAAGTCTTTGAAACCAGCTTGTATTTATACACCTCTGAGCCTGTAATGGCAGTGGCCTTGCTCGTGTCTGAGAGTCCCTCCAGGCATCATTCTTACTGTACCAGTGCAAGTGCTTGACTTTTTTAGTGACATTATCATCTTCGACGACATCCTTCTTGGCTGGAGCTTTGCAGTACTTCTGTCCCAAACTATAAGCTTTCTGAATCTTTCTAGTCTCTTCCTTCTTTAAAAAAAAATTGAAGCTGTACACAGTGGCATACAGCTTTAATCCCAGCACTCAGGAGGCAGAGGCAGGTGGATTTCTGTGAGAGCAAGGCCTCCCTGGTCTATATAGTGAGTTTCAGTCTAGCTGAGGTTACAGGGAAACCCTATCTCAAAAAACTTTTTTAATTAAAGTTATGTGTGTGTGTGTGTGTGTGTGTGTGTGTGTGTGTGCGCGCGTGTGCGTGTGTATAGGCCAGAGGATAACTACTTGCAGAAGTTTGTTCTCTCCTTCTACCAGATGAGTTCCATGAATCAAACTTAGGTCATCAGGCCTGACAGCAAATGCCTTTACCTCCTAAACCATCTCACCAGCCCTTTCTTCCTCTTGCTCTCAATTCTCACATTAAATTTGGCTGAAAACAGCCAGTAATACCTATGCCACAGAATACTGGGCTGCCTTGAAATTTCCTCTGCTACATTAATTAGTCTATCACCTTTAAATTTAACCTCACACCAAGTCTGAGGGCATGGGCGAAAATGTAGACAAGATCTTTTCCTTAACATAATGTGAATGGTCTCCAGGCCTGTCTACTCCCTGTTCTCATCTGAAGCCTCATGAGCACAGGCTGTACTGTCTGTATCCCTATCGGCGTTCCAGTCTTCTGAGCTTCCATCAGAATTGCCTGTTAAGCTCTGCTTACAATATTCTAGGCTTTTTCTGTTGTTTGTGGTGGTGGTTGGTGATAGTGCTGCCATTCTAGTGTAAAGTAGTATCTCATGGTAGTTTTGATTTACATTTCCCTGAAGACTAGAAATACTGGTAAGGATGAGAAGTTAGGATTGTTGGTGGGAACTGGGGAAATGGTTCAGTAGGTAAAGTGCCTGTCACATCAAGTCTGAGGACCTGAGTTAGGATCCCTAGCAGACACATAAAAGCTGGATGTGGTGGCACATTCTGTAACCTCATCGCAGAGTGCAGGGTGGTGTTGATGGGGACAGGCTCATTTGCCAGCCAGTCTAGCCTAATCAATGAGCTCCAGGTTCAGTGAGAAACCCTGTCCTAAAAACAAGGTGGCAAGCAATCGAGGAAAACATCTGATGTAGACCTTTGGCCTCCACAAGTATACATACATGTGTGTGTGCACCTACATGCACTCATGCACATACCCACACAAACACAAACATACGCATACACACATGAAATGGTGGTGTCGTTTTGGAAAATATTTTGATGATTTCTCAGGAAGCTAAACATGGAGTTGTCATGTGACCCAGCTATTTCACGCCTAGGTATACATGCAATGGCTGACTTGATTGTCAACCTGACTGTATTAAGGGAGGCCTAGAAAACCGATACCAAGAAGGAGGATCAGTGCTGTGACTATGCCTGATTATGTGGAAGAAGCTTTAGGACTGACTTGTGGGAGGAGTCAGGGAAGGCTTGGACGAGCAGGCTAGAGAGTTGGGCTATCTGCTTGTATTTTAAAAGTCCTTTATATATGCTAGCTACTAAATCCTCATCACACACGTGCTTTCATCTCTTGTCACCCTCCTAATAGTGTCCATAGATGCACAAATATTTTCAGTTTATACTGAGGTCCGTCCAACTTGTCTGTTTTGTTGTTTATTTATGTGGGGTTTCTTTTAGTATGCTTTGTTGTTTTGGTTTTTCATTATTTTTATTACATTTATTTATTTATTTATTTATTTATTTATTTATTTATTTATTGTGTCCATTGGTGCATGTGTGGAAGTCAGAGCACAGCCTGCAGGACTCTGTTCTCCTCCTCTCCGTGTGAGTCCTGAGGATCGAACTCCAGTCATTAGGCTTGGCAGCAAACACCTTGACCCACTGAGCCATCTCAGCAGCCTGTAGTTTTTGTCTGTCTGCTTGTCTGCTTGCTTTGACACAGGATCTCACTCTGTAGCCCAGGTGGGCTGGCGTTTGCAGTCTCCTTGCCTTAGCTTCTCAAGTACTGGGGTTACAGGCATGAATTACTACATCCAACAGAGGGTTTCTTTTAGAGGTGATGATATTGTAAAGTCAGATGTGGTGATGGTTGTGTATCTGAAGATATATTAAAAATTGCTAAAGTGTACTCTTAAAGTGTATCTCAGTAAAGCTGTTAAAAAATGCAGTGGGAGCCGGGCGTGGTGATACACACCTTTAGTCCCAGCACTCAGGAGGCAGAGGCAGGCAGATCTCTGTGAGTTCAAGGCCAGCCTGGTCTACAGAGTGAGTTCCAGAACAGCTGGGGCTACAGAGAGACCCCGTCTCAAAAAAAAAAAAAAGACCAAAAAAATGCAGTGGGGCTCGTGCAGCCTTGCCCTTGGGCTGCCTGCTCCTCTTACCCCTTCTGAGCCTGCACATTTCCCCCTGGCCTTGGCCTCTCTCTTTTCCCTGAATTCTTCTGCCCCACCCACTTGGCTCCTGCCGTCTCTCCCCATGCGCCTTGAAAACTGAATCCTCAAGAGTACACCAGGGTTCTCTGCCCCCAGGTTCAGCCTGCTTCCTGTTCTCAGCAGATGTCACCACTAAGCTCATCCCCACTTGGTTACCTCACTCAGAACACTCTCCCCAAGACAGCCCAGTCACAGCCTCTACAACTCATGACAAAGACCACGTCCTCCCGAAGCTGCCCCTGGTGGGTTAGGAGCAAAGGCTGCACTTAGGGACCCTGGCCCTCTTTCTGTGCTGCTGTTTCAGTGGTACTATAGGTCTGTAGGTGAGGCTGACCACCAACCACCCTCCTCTGTGGTGACTGTGTGATGTAAGGAAATTACTACCAACCTGCCAGCTCAGCTTCCTCATATAACATGGAGACTCCAAGACCATGGATCTCCTGGGAATGCTGTGAGTTACGTGAGTGAATCCATGACCCTTACGAAGATGTCTGTTCATGGTAACTTTTGTTACTTTCTCTCTGCCTACCTACTGACAGCCAGCTTCATCAGTCTCGCTTGTGGCACTTGCCAGATGAGACCCCCAGTTGGTTCAAGCATACCTTTTCTGTGGCTGGATTCTCCAGGCCTGTCCCTTCTGAAAGCTTCAGTTTGATCCCCAAAAGCCATGTAAAACACTGAGAGTGGTAACATACACTTATAATGTGAGCACTGGCAAGGCACAGATAGGCTGATTCCTGACCAGACTATCCTGATTGACAAGATCCAGGACAGTTAGAGGCCCTATCTCCAAAAACATCAGGTGAATGGTGGCTGAGGACAACATCCGTGCATCATCCCACATCTCTGATGGTCAGAAGTCCAAAGTCAAGATGTGGGTAGAGCTGTGCTCCCCTCTGAGAGCAGAGAGGATCCTTGCTTGCCTCTTTCAGATTCTGCTCCTTGCACATAGCTGCTGCATCAATCCAGTGTCTCAACCTGTACACACATGGCCTCCTCCCCTGTCTGTACACTTCTGAGTCCTCTGTTCTTTATAATATCACCAGTAATTAGCTAAGGTCCCACACTAATCCAGTGTGACTGGCACTGTTTCCTTTTGTTCTTTCCCTTTCCCCATCTCAACCTCCCACCTCCCCTGTCCCAGGTGTACCAACATCTTAAACAGCAATGGTGAACTCCGAGGATTTCGTCCTCGGGACCGGGATGACATGGTGAAGAAGATCATCGAGCCGATGGCTTGTGATGGCCTCCGCACCATCTGCATTGCCTATAGAGACTTCCCTGCAAACCAGGAGCCTGACTGGGACAATGAGAATGAGGTGGTGGGTGACCTCACCTGCATAGCTGTCATGGGCATCGAGGACCCTGTGCGACCTGAGGTAGCTACCCCTTTTCTGGGATCTGCTTTGGTGACTGTTTCCTGAGGTTGTTCAGTGGGTGGCAGCATAGCTTTTCCCACACTAGACCAACAGTAGACTTTGGACATGTACATGTACGGTGAGAGGCACTTTCTCCCCACCTTCCCAATTGTCACACTTCTTCCTGCCCTGGTTACAGGAAGAGCAACCTTGCCAACCTCTGGAAAGGTGTCTGAAAAGGCTGAGTGTGGTGGGTGGCTATTAGACATATCAGACCTTCCTCAGTACATTTGATCTCCTTGTTGGGCCCTCTAGTCCTTATCCTACAGAGAGTTCTGTGGGCCTTCCTGGCCCCTGAGCAAGGGTCAGACTTCACTTTCTACTAGGTGAGACGGTGGTCTGAAGGAAATCTTCAATACTAGAAGATCCGTGGACTGAAGGGGCAGATGATAGAAACTGAGTAGCTGGGAGCAACTGAGTTGTGTAGACATAGGTTTGTGGGACAGGGTGGGCAGTTGTCAGTCAAGTGCTTGTTTAGGTCTGAATGAGATGCAGAACATCCTCATGGAAATATCAAGGAAGAAAGTGACTCTAGAAGTAGAGAGCTTAGAGCAAAGGTTCTGGCTGGAGAGAAATTACAGAAGTATCTCTTTCTGTAGTTGGTATCACTGGGAGCAATATGCCACTGTGACAGAGGTCAGACAAGGTGGGGAAAACCTCATGGGTCACGTGGGAGATGAAAACATAGACTCAAAAGGGATATGTTTGCCTATTCATGGCTTTGACACTGGGAGGTCACTGAAGTCTTTCACCTGAACTGGTTCTGTGTGATGGTTGTATTTGTTGGCCTTTAAAGATGGGAGATCCTGAAGAAGGGCCCTATGTCTTTCCAGCCTCTGTCCATTGGTGTCCACCTGTTAGAAGCAGGTCCACCTTGACTCTGTCGTTACCCTGAAAGCACATACCTGTAGAAGCTGTTCTGGGGAATGTAGGTGTGACAGGGGAGGAGAGGCTTTGCCCACTGGATCACAAAGCAAAGGTACTCAGTTCCAAAGGGGATATGCTACTTGCCACATCCAAACAGTGGCCATGGGTCACTGTCAGCAGAGCATCCTTGCATTCAGTTAGAGAGAGGAGAGAACTACACTGAGTACAACAGATCCAGCCTCAGTGGGTGCCACGGGGGCGGGGAGCTCACGACAGGGAGAGGCCATCTCAGGCTTGGCGATGACAGAAGGGCCCAGGGACCAAGGGCAGCTCTTTTCTGGCTTGAGATTGGTTGAGAGGAAGATCATGTGGCAGATTCTAGCAATAAAGCTATTTGGGGAGAGTAGACAGCAGGGTGAACCAGGTGGTGGCTCTGGAGAGCATGAGAGCCCAGCAAAGTCTCCTTGGGTCTTGGTCAAACTTGCTGAGTGTTAGGAGGCAGAGGACAACCGCCAGAGGGAGCCAGAGAGCTGTGTCTGCAGGAAGCTTGGCGCCTAGTGCTGCAGCAGAGAACTTCTGCAGACACCTGCTCCCTGCTGTGCTGTGGGACCTTGAGGAGAAAGCAGGGCATGAGTAAGCAGACAAGGAAGGGACTGTCTATCCCATGAGGAGAATCTTCCACTGGAGGGGGTGTTCCTGCCACTTGGCTAGGACACTGAGAACTTAGAGTATGTATGCGGGCACCTGGACTCCTGGAGTGGCCTGGTCCAAGGCTCAGGAGTCTCAGGCTCACAGTGGCCACTTGGTGGCAGTAGAGAAGGCTTCCAGCCACTTCAGGGACCGAGGCTGTGGAGCAGCTGCCTTACTCCCTGGCTTGAAGGAAACTTCCCTGTACTCACGGTCCTATCCAACACCTCAGGACCCTCAGAGAACAGAACATGTCTTTGAGACAGGGCACAAGGAGACACATCACATGTGATGGAGGGGGCATGAGTGAGCTGCCACAGCTAGACTCTCCCCAAGGTGTGTCCTCCCCTGTCATGTGGAAGTACTGGCTTTAGTGATCATCAGATGACTGTCAAAGCCTGAAGTGAGGGTCACTCTGTTCTTGCCACCACCCTTCACTTCCTTCCTGGCTAGTCCCAAGCTGTCCTGCCCCTGCATGTGTACCTACGTGTTCTAGCCTCCCTAGACCAGGGGACTAAGCCAAATCTTGCATTCCTTTCCTCTCAGGCTCAGCAACAAGCCATCCTTGCTCACAGGGTGCCCAGTAAAGAATTCGAAGACCTAAGTGTTTTCATTCACCTCCTCAAGCTCTGAGCTGGCCCTCTTGCTCCCCATCATGTCTGCTTTGACCCTTCAGGCCCCAGGACCTGAAGAGCCACACATTTCATGGCTTTGGAAATCATCCTTTCATCCCCTACCACTGGAATAATGCTACACTCCCGAGCTGGTCTCCTGACTTCCCACTCTCCACCCTTTCGATCTGTTTTGCACTCTGTACTTGGGGGTTTTCTTTCTTATTCCTTAGTTCTGGAATCTACTTCATCATTTGAAAAGGAAATCATGGATCATAAACCCAAGTAATGTTCCACTCCCCCTAGTGAGTAGATCATGTGAAGACAACAATTAATTCCTGGGGAAAACAAAAACAAGAACAAAACATAACATAACCAAACCAAACAAGTGGAAGGGGAATTCAGCATGGCTGACAGCTGGGTGCCTACCCTGTGTCAGGCCCCCTGTGGAATCAGCTGTAGTAGACCCTGTTGGTGGTCAGGACATCTACAGGTTAGCCATGGTTTGAGGCCCCTTCCTCATTCCTCTTTAGAATCAATGACGCTGCCCTGCCAGGCACCTGGAAACCAGGGCCAGCCCTACTCTGGGGCTTAGTTTCCCAGATGGAAACAAGGCTGGAGAGTTGGGGAATTCTTACGGCCACACAGGTGACCTTTTTAAACACAAATTTCATGGTGCCCCTTCACAGCACAGTAGCTTCCAGAGGCTTCTCTGGGTTGTGCTCCTCCTACCAGGACCTAGATCTAAGTCGTTCTGGTTCCTGGAACCAGGCACAATGAAAGAGGCATAGAGAGGGGTGGGCTGAGGGTTTAGAGGAGGTATCTGCCTACTGCGGGCCATCCTCTGTAATCCTCCACATCACCCTCCAGAACCACAGGCTTCACTCTACTGTCAGCTTTGCTGGGACTCATGATCCTGCAGATCTAGACCAGACTCAAAACATGGCCCCACCCACCATTCTTGTCTCTCCCAGGTCCCTGAAGCCATTCGCAAATGCCAGCGTGCTGGCATCACAGTCCGCATGGTGACTGGGGACAATATCAACACTGCCCGGGCAATCGCAGCCAAGTGTGGCATCATTCAGCCAGGGGAGGACTTCCTGTGCCTGGAGGGGAAGGAATTCAACCGGAGGATCCGCAACGAGAAAGGCGAGGTAGCTCCCTGCCACCCCTGTCTTGGGTCACAGTTTCCTCCACCCCTCTGCTGCTGTGCACATCCCTCCCAGCCCCAGTGCATGTCTGCAGTCTTAGCTCTGAAGTCTCCACTGTTTCCTCCAGATAGAACAGGAACGACTGGACAAGGTGTGGCCCAAGTTGCGGGTGCTTGCCCGGTCATCTCCCACGGACAAGCACACTCTGGTCAAAGGTAAGCAAGTGCTCTTACCCTCTTCCCCACATGGCTGCAACTGTCACCCCTGCATGTTGTCATCTGCCCCTGGGCTCCTGAGTGGATCTCCAAGGCTAGCCCAGGAAAGCAGAGTCACTTGCTGTAGATCTGTTGCTTCTAGAGACTGGGGACTAAAAAACACCCAAGCCAGAAGAGCACATAGAGGCTGTCCCCTCATTGTAACAAATGGGGAAACTGAGGCCCAGGACAGGGAGACATTCACCCAAGTCACAAAGCCTGGGATCCCTCCCTTCTACCAAATTATGCCACCCTGTGTTACTAGATGAAGGGCTCTGGTGGGAAGAGGGGGATGGTATTGTCCCACTAAAGCCTGGGGACATGATCCCCTAAGTGACCTGGAGCACAGAAGCAGTCCACCCCAGAGCTCCTTTGACAGAGCCACATAGGGCTGTGGTGACAGAAAGTTCCAGCCCTGCCTTGACCCATTCTGTGTTCCAGGGATTATCGACAGCACAACTGGTGAGCAGCGGCAGGTGGTGGCGGTGACTGGGGATGGCACCAATGATGGGCCGGCCCTCAAAAAGGCAGATGTGGGTTTTGCCATGGTAAGCCACCCAGTCTGAGGCCAGATCACTTCACAAATGAGACGCTTTCTCTCCTGGACATTAGCTTTGCACCAGAAAGTGAAGAACCAGTTTTAGGGCAGGTAAAAGAGTGCTAGAAGCTTCTTTCCCTCACATCTGGGCCACTTCAGGCTGTATAGACTCTGACCATTAGGGAATACATATGTGTTTTGTTTAAAAAACATTTGGTGTGAGGACATCTGAAGTGACAGTGGGACCCAACTGTACTGTTAAGGAGAAGGAAAGCAGTGAACAGTGGCTTGTCAGCAAAGGCACCTGCTCACCATCACCTATTTCCAGTTCACTCCCAGGAGTACCTGACCCCAAGTATGATGCGCAGGGGCCCCAGTACGTTCTTCCTCTACTTTCTTTCTTGCTGCTCATGTAGATCTATGTCTTCCCGTGAGCAGGGTGGCCTGCCAGGGGCTACCCACGTGGTGATCCCTGCCCGCCCCCAAGGGAGGTAGTAGCCTAGCGTCCCTTATGCCCACCCCAGTAGGAAAAGAAGATGCTTCACTCAGCCACATTTGGTGCAGTGAGGTAAGGATACTTCATCCTCCCTGGACCTCACAACTGGGAGGAGAGACCAAGCTGAGTTTCCCACGGTGGCTGCTATCACTATGCCAGGCCGAAGATGTGGTGAATGTAAGCAGACCTGAGGCCTGTTGCTGCACCCTAGTTTGTGCTGCAGAGTAGCAAGAATCTGCCATGTAGCCAGAGGACTGGATCTTTGCCCTGCCCAGGCAGATAGTCTGTGTCTACCAGGGTATCCTCAGGTAGCCAGACAGAGGGTTGGTGAGTAGTCACCTGGCAACATCTGGGCTTTGTGGAAGGCTGCATGGATGGCATGTCATCAACATCCCCTGGTTTAGCAGCAAACCCCCCCTTACAGCTGTTTGCAACATAGAATGTGTTGAATTAAAACAAGTGCTGTTCAGTTAGGAGCCTTATTTGGAAGGGAAAGGCAGGGAACCAGCCCTGATGGACTGAGCAGTCAAGAGGGGCTAAGAAACAGGTACTGCGTTTATGTACCACCTTAGGGCATCGCAGGCACTGACGTGGCCAAGGAGGCCTCTGATATCATTCTGACTGATGACAACTTCACCAGCATTGTCAAGGCGGTCATGTGGGGCCGCAATGTCTATGACAGCATCTCCAAGTTCCTGCAGTTCCAGCTTACAGTCAATGTGGTGGCGGTGATCGTGGCCTTCACAGGCGCCTGCATTACTCAGGTGGGTACCAGGGACCTGCAGGAGGCAGCTGGTTTCTGACAGCTGTAGCATGGGCTCAAGAGGGCCAGGATGAAAGCAAGTTTTCTCTTTGCTGCAGATTCTTTTTCTTGAAATCACATTTGCACACCCAAACCCCACCATTTTAGGTAGCCAATTAGCAGATTTTTTTTTTAGTATATTCACAGTACCATACAGCCGTCACGTTCATCTAGTCCCAGAACACATTCCTCCATCCCAAAGGAAGTACTGCACCCACTAGCAGTCATTCCCCATTTCCCTCCCAGCCCCAGACAACTGCTTCTCTTTTCTGTCTCTATGAATTTGCCTGTTGTAGACATTTTGTGTCAGTGGAATGAAATGATACACAGCCTTTAGGGTTTCTTTTTTCACATTTTTTTTTGTAATGAGGGAGCATGTGTGTGTCACAGCGCACATGTAGAGGCCAGAGGCAACTTGCGTCAGTTCTTTCCTTCCACCACGTGGGTCCCAGGAATCGAACTTGGGTTTTCAGGCTTGGTAGTAAGCACCTTTACCCACTGAGCCATCTTGCTGACCTGACATCTGGCCTTTGTGTCCAGCCTCTGTGCACATTTTCAAGCTTCATCCATGTTGCAGCTTGGATCAGCACTTTATTTTCATGGATACACAAATGCCCCATTTTGTTTGTCATTCATTAGCTGACTGGTCTTTGGGCCACTTCCGCTTTTTGGCCATTGGGAGAAGTGCTGCTAGGAATCCGAGTTTTAGTGTGCATATACATCTTCCACTGTCCTGGATCTAGATCTGGAGCAGAATAGCTGGGTCACACAGAAACTCAAGACTTCACCCTTGGCAGGGCCTCCTTTTTCTCAATGATTCAATTCTCCCCATTGGCAGGGGGCTAGAATCTATTGATTCCATCTTAAGGATGGTTGACTTTGTTGTTAACAAGTAGACTTTTTTGCTGATCAGTCAGTCCTCTCAAGGGTGTGTGTGTGTGTATGTGTGTGTGTGTGTGTGTGTATTTGTCTATGTGTCTGTCTGTCTGTGTCTGTGTGTCTGTGTATGTGTATTCAGCTGCACTTATACAAGCATGCATATTCATGTGGCGGCACCGGACGTCAACCCCTGGTATTGTTCCTCAGGAGGGATCAATCTTGATTTTTAAAAAATAATTTATTGAGAATTTCATACAGGAATATAAGCATATAAGGTGTTTTGATCAAATCCATGCCCACTCCCCCCCCCGTCCAACTCCTCCTATATCTCCCCATCACTTTTTTCTGATAACTTCATGTACTCTGTCTTCTTTTGTTATGGGGCGTTTTGCTACTCTAACATTCCCCCCTCTGAAGAGGTAGCCCTAAAATCTTTTAAGGATTAAATAAGAGCTCCCAAATACTTTTGACATTTTTGGCCTTTAGAACAGAGTATGTTGCTAAGAGGCCCAAGGACATTTTGACTTTTAGCCAAGAAGCTGGCTACTTTTCTTTGGGTCTTTTTACTCTAACTGCCTAGCCAATTCCTACCTCCTATTCTTATCACACCATCCTCTGAAGAGGTTACCCAGCTTGCGGATACGGAATTGGGACGCAGACCGCTCTGGCTTCTTCCATGCAAAACAGGGACGCAGGGTGAGACAATTGGGGTACCTCTTCAGTGGGTCTATCTGAAAGACTCCCAAATTGCATAACTTCTATCTGTAGAGGGAAAAGAAAGTCCTTGACTGGTGACTAGGAGATGTGAAGGAGAAGTAAAGGCAAGAGTAGTTAGCGTTACAAGTTCTAGACAGGGAACTAGAAAAAAGTCAGAACAGGGCAAACTTCAAATGTTCATATGAGAGTCCACTGGAATTTCTTGATGAGAGCTTCCAAAAGCATCCCTCTATTGGGTTCCTCCTCATTTTTCTTTTGTCTGCCAAGGCTGGATTCGAGAGTTGTGGATTCAGGATTTGTGTTGAGGCATTTTGAAAGCTATTGGAGTGGCTAGAATCCGTGTCAGTTCCCTCTCAAAGGCTTCAGCAGGGGGAGGCAGGATCTGGGCACTCTCAGCTCAATCTTGATTTTTGAGACAGGGTCTTTCACTGGGACCCCGGTCTTGTAAATTAGACTAGGCTGGCTGGGCAGCAAACTCCAGGGATCCTCCTGTCTTCATCTCCCCAGTTCTGGGATTCCAAGTGCATGCCAGACTGTTTCTTACATGACTTCTGAAGGTTGAACTCAAGTTCTCTGGTTCTCATGTTTATAAGGAAAGCATGTTACTGAGTGAGGTAACTCCCCAGCCCCTCAAGGATGTTTTCTTGAGATCTCATTCATAAATGACTTCATAATAACCATTCTAACCATTTTATCATACAGAACTCTGTGGTTTGGCATATTCAGTGTTGTACCTGCCATCAGAATATTTTCATGGTCCCAAAAGTAAACCTCACACTCATTAGGAGCCACTTCTTGACTCCTCCCTAGCCCTGGCACCGCTCACCTATCTATTCTCTGTTTTCGAACCTCTCAGTTCATATGATTTCATTTGCACTATCCATGGCCTTGTGTATCCAGCTCCTGTGAGGCTGATTTTGAAAGAAACACTCAGCAGGAATGTTGAGAAGGCGAGTTGGGGTCAACGTTTCTGTGTCTTCCTGCCCTGTGATATGGAAGACTCTGGTCTCAAAAGCGGATCTCTGTCACTGGGCTGTCTTGTGGGGCTGTCTTGAAAGCCATGGTAACTAGTTGGGGCTGTGCACTTCCTGGGAAGGCCTCAGATCACACCTTCAAAATCACTGCCACCAAGGGAGAGGATAGGAAGGTGGGCAGGAATCTAAAAGTCCAGTAAGAAAACTCCTGCCAACCTGAAGGAACGTGTGTGACAGGCTTATGGGAGTGAAATTCCCATGACATTGGCAAAACTGAGTTTCTCGGGGGCTGGAGAGATGTCTCAGTGGTTAAGAGCACTGACTGCTCTTGCAGAGGACCCGGGTTCGATTCCCAGCACCCACATGGCAGCTAGGAACCATCCTTAACTCCAGTTCCAGGCGAAACTGAAGTCCTCTTCTGACCTCCGCGGCATTGCATGACACGGGTGCACTCACATACATGCAGGCAATACACTCATACACATAAAATAAAAATAATAAATAAAATATTTAAAAATTTTTTTTAAAACTGAGTTTCCCCTCAGGAGTGGTAATCTTTCCCAACCCACTGTCCCAAGGTTTCTCTGTGAAGGCCTGCACAGCCAGCCCACAGAAGGGTAACTGCCCTCTCTCTACAGGACTCTCCTCTAAAAGCAGTGCAGATGTTGTGGGTGAACTTGATCATGGACACATTTGCCTCTTTGGCTCTGGCAACAGAGCCCCCCACTGAGTCACTGCTGCTGCGGAAGCCATATGGCCGCGACAAGCCCCTCATCTCACGCACCATGATGAAGAACATCCTTGGCCATGCCGTCTACCAGCTCACCATCATCTTTACTCTGCTCTTTGTTGGTAGGTTGGGCCTGGGGCACACACTTCAGCCTGTGCTCGAGGTTTTCAGGATATCCTTGCTGTGCTCTCATGCTCACACCCTGTTTGTATCCTCATTATGAAACAGGGTAGGACACAGCAGTTATTGACTGAATAGTAGATGGCAAAAGAACAGGCTGCTCTATACCTTCATGCTGCCTCTCACCATGTTCCCCATTGTGCATCCCTGGGGCTGATGTGGTCAAGGAGAGAGGCCACTGGTGCTGGGAGACTCTCCCTCCTCAACCCCTGCCTCTCTCTTCCCTGCAGGAGAGCTCTTCTTTGACATCGACAGCGGAAGGAATGCACCACTGCACTCTCCACCCTCAGAACACTACACCATCATCTTCAACACCTTCGTTATGATGCAGCTTTTCAATGAGATCAATGCTCGCAAGATCCATGGTGAGAGGAACGTCTTTGACGGCATCTTCAGCAACCCCATCTTCTGCACCATTGTCCTGGGCACTTTTGGAATTCAGGTAGGCCGCTAAGAAGTAGGGTCCCTTGGCATCAAGGTCCCAGGTATCCCCTGGTACTGGCTTCCCTGTCTCCTGAATATACTCTGCAGTCCACATCAAGCATTCTTCACCTTCTAAACATTGCTAGGCTCACCCTAACCTAACCTCCTGGCTTCCAGAGTGCTGCAGGAGGCCTTTTTCCTCCCATCCTCATACAGATGCTAGAAATAGCCCTACCTGGCTCCCTCTGGGTCTGCAATCCCCATTTCTAGTACCTAATTCCTTGGGGTGAGACTGGTATAACTATGGAAGATTCTTTGGGAGATGCTTGCTGTGCACAAGGCTGACTCTGACTTCTGCCCACCACAGCACTGTGGACAGGTTGGTCAACAACTTCCTAGGAGGGGCTGAGCACTCAAGGATAGTATCTTCAAACAAAACTTCAGATATAGGAAAGCCCATTGCTCAGGAGATGGCTGCCATGCAAATGCATTTCACTGGTCCTAGATCCCAAGAGCATGGCCATGTAATACAAGTGTCAGTCAGGAGGCAGTAAGAGGCTAATTTTAATGCTGTCTCCCAGGACAGAATGAGTGGGGGGTCAGCAGGCTTCAGTGCGGCTAGTGTAAATCATTGCAACGCACTGTGGAGAGTGGGCTGGCCCTGGTTTCTGGCACCTGGCCCTGGGATGGGTTGGGGTGTGTGTTCTAGATTGGTTGGTTTGCATTTGAGAAGCTTTTTCCTAGGTATATGACTCCCCCTGAAGTAGACAGTGAGGAAGGCAGGAAGCCAAGACAGGGTCATCTTCATGCTATGAGATCTTGCAGAGTAGGTAGGTGTGAAAGCTTTAGACCTGCAGAAGTTGGAACAATGATCAAGACAACCAAGTCTCACCTGGAAGCTGATGGTACCAGACGGGGGTGGGCATCAGCGCATGAGGCTACACACTGACCCACCCTGGTACTCTTGGCCCTGTGGGCAGACAGTCTGTAAAGTCATCTTTATACACCTGCTAGGAGAGAAAGGGAAGGGAAGAAGCAGAGAAGGAAAGCCAAGCCATTTCCTCAAATGTGGCCTGTCCACCAGGAGCCAGGAAATCAATAAGCCCTGACTATGGCCATGCTGGCTTGGCTTCCAGGAGGCAAGGCCAGTCAAAAGCAAGGTTCATAGAGGGCTGAGTCAGACACAGACCAGTCAGGAGCTGTGCCTAAGGTGTGATGCCACTCTATCCACCGACTCCTGTCTTCTTCTCCAGATTGTCATAGTCCAGTTTGGTGGGAAGCCCTTCAGCTGTTCTCCACTGTCCACAGAACAGTGGCTTTGGTGCCTATTTGTTGGTGTTGGGGAGCTGGTCTGGGGACAGGTGAGTGTCTGCCTCATCAACTTTTTCACCAATGCCCTCATTCTCGTTGGTTCTGTTGATGGCCCTCAGGATGGGCAAGAAACCTAGAGTCCTGGGCAGCCTATGCCCCTCACTGCCCCAGCTCCCTGCCCCGCAGTCTCAAAGCCCATGCCTGGGAAAGTGTGTGGTATGCTTAGGTGGGTGACCCTGCACAACAGGACTCAGATCTATGACATGCCATAACCTAGAGGCAAGGTCACAAGTAACATCATCAATGAGATCACAGAGGACAACAGCTGAGATGCCACCCTGTCTATGAAAACCATCCAGAGTTTCCTTTCCCATGGTAATAGCTAAAACTTGCCCCCTAAAGTCAAATGCCTTGGGTTCTATCTCCAGCACTACAGAAATACAAAACAAAACAAAACAGAAGGCAGAAATGAAAGGAAAGGAGGGAGGGAGGGAGGGAGGGAGGAAGGAAGGAAGGAAGGAAGGAAGGAAAGAAGGAAGGAAGGAAGGAAAGAAGGAAGGAAAACGTGTATGGCTTGGAATATTCCAACATATTTGAAATTAACACCCTGCAAAAAATCTGGGGGACAAAGAGGTTGTGAGAGAAGGGAAGAGGTGTATTGACCAAATAGAAACAGGCAAGACCACATGTGCCCAGTGAGGAGATCACAAAGCAACAGCCTGGTGACTGCAGCTGACACATCCCAGGCACACAGCACCCCCTCCATGGTGCACAAGAGGTCTCTGAAAGCATTTTCTTCAGAGTCCTAGAACACGGACATGGAAAACCGAGTCTAGGACTCACATCTCTCTGGCTCTTAGTCATTTCAGGCTCCCACAACAAACCACCAGAGACCGGCAGGTGGCACCAAAGGCAGGTATTTCCCCATAGATCTGGCCCCTGACATTGGTCCCCAAGGATGACCCATCCAGTTCCTCCATCTCATTTTCAGAAATCTCTTTCCTTTTAACACTCAGCATCTTCTGTCTCACTCAAGCTTGACAGTCCCGTGGAGTCCCTTCACTTCCCACAACTTTGGCTCTGTACACTTCGCTCAGCCTGCCCATGACAGTCTTCTATTGACCTCTGAGCTCCTGGTGCTTCAGATCTCCCCCTGGGCTGCCCACTCATAGCTCAGCCCCCTGGGGTGATCTAGTAGTCTTTTAAGTTCTTAACTATTTTCAGTGACCAAAATAAAACCATTCAAGTCATAAAACTCCATGAAAATGTCCTCGCAGTCACCCCGTCCTGACAGACATATAAGAGGGACAGGATGACGTACTATCCTCCACCCAGACAGTGAAAGACACAGCGCAGCTGCCCCTTCCTTCTCCCTGCCCTTTCCAGCTGTCACCCTTCCTGTCGCCTCTCTCTCCCTTGCAGTCTCTGATCACAGGCCCTTTTCTAGATTCTTCTTCCTTCAAGAGAGGCCAGGCACAAGTTTCCAGGGCCAGCCTTTCTCCCAACAGACATGAGAGCTAGCTGGTGTGGAATACTGTCTGCTAGGAAGCTCACCTGAGTCCTGGTCTTCTTTGAGGTCAATCACATAGGCATTCAGTACCCAAACAGCTGACCTCAGCATCCATCCCCTCCATGTCCCAGAGATGCATAGACTAGCAGGTGCCCGAGGCCTCCTCTGAGCCCCATTACTCAGGAAGGATGATCCAGGTACTTCAAGGTCCATCCCAGGAGTGAGGCAACGGCCAACACTATCTTTCCGACATGATACTCTACAGATTGATTTCTCTGGCTGCACCTTCGTCTTTTATTTGGATAAGACTCAGGAGAGCAGAAGTCTGCCACGGGGCGGGGGTGGGGGGAGTTTAAAGCCTGCCCTGCCTAGGGGCTGAACTGCATCCCAGAGAAATGGGGTCACTGGTCTCTTCCTGGACTCAGTAGAACCCGCTTTTATGGCCACCTCTGCTTGCTTTCTCTTGACTGTGGCTTCCCAGGTCATTGCCACCATCCCCACCAGCCAGCTCAAGTGCCTGAAAGAAGCAGGACATGGGCCTGGGAAAGATGAGATGACCGATGAGGAGCTGGCCGAGGGCGAGGAGGAGATCGACCATGCTGAGAGGGAGCTCCGCAGGGGCCAGATCCTCTGGTTCCGGGGCCTCAACCGGATCCAGACGCAGGTAAGCTGCCATTCCATGTGTCTCTCTCATGATGTCTCAGAGAGGGTAGAGAAAGCAAGCAAGAAGCAGAGACTGGGCAGACAGAGCCCAAAGCCAGGAGGGAACTTGCTGAGTCTGACTACTAAGTATGCGGAGGCCACATGGCGGTGTCCACCACTAGCTGGCCACTGAGACCACCTCTTCCTCACACTTCCCCTCAGTACCCAGATAACTTCTCCCATAGCTGGCCAAAATCATGTGCTAGCAACTAGTGGCTCTCTCAGGGGCACTGACTAGCACTGTCCACTTTCCTTGGTAGGGACTGTCCAAGTAGTGGGCAACTTGTGCTTTGTTGGGGAAGGTGGTCAATTCAAAGAGCCTTTGGCCAGCTGCTATAATTTCTGTACAAAATCTCTGTAGGAAGTAGACTCTGCCACCAAGTTGGTCTGAATAGGCTGGACTGTTCAAGGCCAAGGCCATTGGCTACAGCTCTTGGAAATATCAGACAGCCAACGGGAAGCAGTAGTGAGGGTTTCACAAAAGCCATGTGACAGACTACCCTGTTCTCTGCCCCATCCCTTCCTGGCCAACCTTCCTGTTAGAAGGGTCCATACTTGCTACCTGTCCACATCCTCCCCTCCTCACGCCCTCCCATGACTGCACTGCCTACCACTCCCATAAATGGCTCTCAGCATGGTCTGCAAGGTCTCTTTCCATTCCATCATCACTGCTTCCCAGCTGCCCTCTGGAAGTGTTGCTGGCCCTACTCACCCTGACAGTTTGCTGTCCCTTCTGAATTTCCATCTGCTCCCTGTCCTTATCTTCCTGGCAACTCCATCTCCCAGTCCACTCCTGCTCTGTCATGCTGAAAATCCTGTAGTCCTAGGGAGAAAAGGAAGGGAGAGCCTGCTGAGGGCCCTGAGTGAGCCCCAACCATCCCACCAGGTTGCTTGACCCCATCGCACTGTAGCCTCCTGGCCTAGCCTGCTGCCTTGGCAGTTTCCCATGACCCACCCCTCCCTTGGTATCCTCCAGATAGCCTTGGCACTCTTACCACCTTCCTCATTCAAGGACTTGACCACCATCTCTGATGCGAGTCCCACTACTTCCAGGTTAGATGCAATCACTTTTCCTCCCTGGGGTCTTATCAGTTAAGCTATGCCTGCCTGGCTACTTTCCCCTTGGGAGTCTGTTTGGTAAACTCCGCAGGGCAGGAACTGAGGCCACATCCCTCCATGTCTTCTTCCAGCTGTCTACCAACCATACAAGCTGTCTTCAGGGCCCCAAGTGATGAATACATGGCTATTCCCTTGTAACCCCAAGTAATCTCATAGGACCCATGCTCCTCCTCTCTCTTCTGCACTTCACATGTGTGTATGCCACTGGCTGGGTACTGAGATCACTCACAGCTTCCCACCTGTTCCACGGGCCTTGCTCAGATCCGCCCCTCTGATGCCACCTCCACCCTGGGGCCTGTAAGAGCTTCTCTCCACTGTCCCCAGAATGAAGTTTCATCTTCTGACTGTGGCCTTCAGGCTCTGGCTCCTTGGCATCACTCCACATCTCTCCACACCCCTGTGACTCTGAGCCGCCTTTCCAGATGTGCACGCTGCCCACCATGCTGCTTGTGCCTCCCTGCTATTGTGCTCCCTCAGAGCCTTGTCTTCATGCTATAAAAACCCACTCAAAGGGCTGCCAAGTCTATGACTCCTTCTTACACTCTACCCCCTCCTGCCACCATGGGCCATCTGTGCAAATGAGCCCAGGACACTGAATCTGAGCATGTCAGAATGCCCTGGGGAACTTTCCAGAACTTCAGAGAGTGGGCTCCTACAGGGCTGGGTGAGGTGGCACCAAAGAAGTCCAAGTTGGAAGTGTTCCCTGGGAACCAGGCATCCTGAGAACTCACTCCAGCATGGCTAAGGAGGGATGTCCTGGGTCCACAACTGAGCCATGTTATCAGAAACCAGGACTCAGAGGGATCCTGGGAGGAAAAGGGGAGCAGCCATTGGAGCCCTGGCCTGAATCTTCTCTCCCAATCGGGTGTGCTGATGCCTCCAGCACAGTGCCCAGGACAGGCATGGGTGCAATAGAGGTGGCTTTTACTTGTTCCCTGCAATAAATAGTATAAATGCATATCAAATGTCAGGAAGCAACTGTCATGTGTTCCCAGTGTATGTGTGTCCACCTAAGTGTGCCTTCCAGGAGACTGACTGTGAGCCCCCAGCACCATCCTCCCAATTTGATCCAGGCTAGATCTTGTCTGTCATGCTCCAGTTCTGATACAGAGCCCAAGAATGGGGTAAAGCAAGCACCCCCCCCCATGTCAGTGTCTTTAACCTCTGGTAATGTGATACAAGGTAGACTTAGTGTTTCTACCAGCTGAGACAGCATCCCTACCCCCACCTAGAGTGTCAGTGGTAGCCTGGCCACCAGTGTGTGTTGTGTCTTTGTGTGCCTCTGGGCTCCTGGGTCTGCCACTGCTGCCTGACTAGCAGAAGTGGGTCCTACCAATTGTAGTCTCAGTGTTCCATCCTTTCTGACTGTTCCATGCCCATGTACATGCTTAGAAGAAAGAACATGGGGCCCCAAGGGAAGGGGTAATGGCCCCAGTGAGAGCCAGGCTAGGACCAGTTCCTCAAGTGTACCCCCCCAGGAAAGCCACACTGATTCCTCCACGGGGTCTCGGACCCCCATGGCTTTTCAAGGTGGCTTTATCATGCCAAATTCACCATGACTCTCAAGAATGCTGAAGCAGTTGCTTTAGCTCAAATTACTCCATTTGATTCAAAAACCTGTTTGAAAAACAGAAATAAAGCTTTCGCGAGGTCCCTCAGGTTGTATGTGTTTTCTAGGCAACTGGCCCCAGATTTCTGGATCTTGTGAACCACAAAATTGCTCCTCGGATTTCGGAGGCCTGCACAACATTTTCTGTTGCTAAGTAACTCAATACCTGCTCTCACTGCTGTTCTATACTAATGTATCAATGCACCAGATGCTAGGGTGTTGTTCCACAATAAAAGAGAGTGCGCCAAACCCAGAACATGTAGCTTTTTGAATGTTCATGATGCGGTCTGTCTTTTTTGCATTTCATTATAAATTCATGAGACACCTCACCAATGACTGAACCTTGTTCCTGGTTAGTGCTGGGGCCTCTGGCGGGGGTGTGCTGGCAATGGTGGTGTTTTTGTAGATATAGTTATCCCATGGAGACACAATGTAGAACTAGGAGAGTGATATAAAACCAACATAGCAAAGGCACATTTCCCATCCCTTGCCTTCTCAAAAGATATGTCTCCATAGCCTACAAACACTGTAATCTACAGGGAAGGACCCCCCCCCCAGTCTGCAACACTATCATGTCAATCATCTTCCCTGAGGTGATGCAAGGCAGAGTGGTACTCAACTGTGTGCACTACACAGACACAGTCACAGCCTCAACAGTCCCCTTTTCCAGAGGGAGGGAGAGAGCTGTGCTGGGTGAAGAGGAGCACTGGGTAGGTCAAGTGGAGTGGAAGGGTGACAAGTCTTTTCCACAGTGTCCAAGGTCGAAAGGCATTTTGGTTGGGAGAGGGTGTTGACAGTGAAGCTGTCTCCTTTGGAGAAGCCCTGGCCTGTGCCTGCTTCCCAGGGGAGACTGGTGGGCACCACGTTCCACTGCAGCGTTTGGGATGGGCCAGGCAGTCAGGGTCCTTTGGACTTCAGAAGTGCATGCTGGCTTTGCTGCTTATATCATCCAGTGAACTGCATGGTACTTTGCAGAAGTCAGATCCACCCTGAAAGATTCTCCCTCACTGAGCCTGGCCCCTGGCCTCCCAGCATCTAGCCTCATGATGGCCCAGTGTTGAGATACTAGGTGTGGTTTTTCCACTGCAGTTCCTTTAGACCCTACTTCCTGTATTTGCTCCAACATCACAGTCAAATTCAGGGTCAGAAAATCTAAAGACACTGAGTCAGGGGGCTTCTAAACAAGATTTAACCACAAGACCCTCCCATGGGTCCCACTTTCCACAGATCCACTTCCCTTTCATCTTCTAGGAAGCTCAAAGGGTGGGGACAAATCAGAAGCCACAATTGTTCCCCAGTCCTCCCAGCCCAGGGTCTGTGGGAAGAACTCTGACAAGACAAAAGCCCATGCTCCTGAAAGCCCCTCCCCTGCCTAAATCCATCTTCTGCTGGGGGTCCCCCTTACTTGGATGAGCTACAAAAACCAGGAGGATTAGCTTCCCCTCCAGTGGAACAGGGCAGAAGCAAGAGAAACGTCCTCCCACTCCCCCCGCCCCCGCCGCCCGCTAAGAGGACCATGAACAAAGGCAGTGATTCCAGAGGGAGGGAAGAAGAACCCAGCCCATGCTCCTCTGGGGAGTGCTGCCACGGGTAGTGAGCCTCTTTCTAATGAGAGCGTGTCATATCCCTCAGGTGTGTTGGGGCGGAAAAAAATGTTGAGAACTACCGAAGTAGGATAAGGAAGTATTGCCAGACACAGGTACTTCTTGATGAGTGGCTCTCGATGAGCGTATCGTGAATGCAAGTGACTACCTCCGAAATGTTTGCAGTGTGTCCCCACTGGTGACCTTTCCCTCCCACACTCCTAACTACTAACCATTTGCTCGGCAAACCCTCTCTCGGTCATGGCTTTATCAAAAGCATTATCAGCTCCCAGGGATCGGGACTGATCTAGCTGAGTCTTTGCAGTCCCCTATATGTCCCCAGTGTGGCCCGTGTCCTCTCCCAGCCCCACCCCGTGCAGTAGCCTGGACCTCAGTGCAAGCCAACCTTTATCTCGTTTTCTCTCCCACAGATGGAGGTAGTGAGTACCTTCAAGAGAAGCGGGTCATTTCAGGGTGCTGTGCGCCGGCGGTCTTCGGTCCTCAGCCAGCTCCATGACGTAACCAATCTTTCTACCCCTACTCACGTAACTCTCTCTGCCGCCAAGCCCACCAGCGCTGCTGGCAGTGAGTCTTGACTTCCCTTTTCTCTCATAAATGGCACCTCGGGGGAAGATAAAGCCTCCCCGACTCTGCCTTCTCTTTTTTCCAGTCTTGCATTTCTGCTCACCGTGGCTTTTCCGTTCCTTCTTCACTGCCCTGTCCAGTCCTTCCTGCCAGATGGTGTCTCTACAAAACCATATTCTCTTATGAAATGGCCCCACAGCACTGCCGGGCCTTCTGTCCTTTGCTTTGTTTGGGTTTTGGTTTGCTTTTAGTGCTCCTGCTGCCATTGGTTTTCTTTTCTTGAACTTGTCTGCATATGCCCATGGTTCTTTATGAACCCAGGCCTCTTCCAGTGATGCCTGGTATCAGGCTGGGACTGCTCCTTATTGTAGGGTGAGTGTCAGGGAACCACGTGGCCCAGGGCCACCCTTCTGGAGCAGGCAAAGGCCCACAGTATAGTATTATTTGCAGCAGAAGAATCCAGCCAACTTCCTCGGGTACGAAAGTGACAGCTTCCAGCATTCTCCTTAAGGTGGCTTCCAAAGGATGCCACTGTCTCCAGTCCCCAGGTGGGCTCAGTGGTGGCCAAGAGCTCCTGAGCCTCTGGTGCCTGCCCAGTAGGTGCCAGCATCTGTTAGAGAACAGGAACTCAGAGGCCAGGCAGGTGCTATGCCCTGTGTCCCCAAGCATGTTGCTCTTTCCAAACAGGCCTCAGCACTGGAGGGCCTGAACCCATCTGGTGCAATTCTCTCCTGCTTCTTCCTCAGAGAAGCCAAGACATTTCGATGAAAAGCTCCCACTGTGTGGTTCATATTTTGAAGAGTACCCAGGGGTGGTCCTTACTAGATAAAAACTTCCATAATTGCTTACATCTTTTTACAAAGACTAAGGAGAGGCCGGCCACTAAACTGCTGAACCTGTCACCCTATGGTGGCCCCAGTGGGAGAGACTGCAGGGCCCCCCACCTCCTACTAGGGTTGCCTACTTTTGGTAACAAAGTTGGGAGATTTCAAAAGGACTACAGTAAACCTTCCAGTATGAGAGCAGGACCCCTGCTGGGATGGTTCAATGCTACCTCTTTCCTTTCCTTCCAGTGAGCCCCCCGCAGCTCCCTTCGAGCACGCCACTCCCACGCAGATGGAAGGCCTTAACTGCACCTTTCTCCCATCACAGACTCTTCGAGTTTCTTTTTGCTTGATTTCTTTCTTTTCTTTTTCTTTTTTTTCTTTTTTTTCTTTTTTTTTGTTTGTTTGTTTTTGTTTTTTTTTTTTTTTTTTTTTTTTTTTTTTTTTTTTTTTTTTTTTTTTTTTTTTTTTTTTTAGGAACTGGTGAGAGGTCCCCAGTGGGAGTATCCCTCCTCTTCCTTAAGCTCTCTCTTTTTGGGCCACTCTGCCCTTTAAGGAAAGGATGAGGGTTCTCCCCAGGAACAGCACAAGTGTACAAGCGTACGTGCACACATACCCCTTCACCAAACCACAGGCTGCACGCAACCTCCAGCTCCTACATCCCCTGGACCACCCTGAGTCATAGATATGGACTGACACATGTCACCGTTGATCTGAAAAGCAGTTAGTACTCCTGGCAAAGCCAGATGGGACCCAGAGGGGTCTCAGGGCCACTCCATCCAAAAAGTGCAGCAGTAGGTTCTGCAAAGCACTTAAAGACAGAATGGCCCATGACCTCCCAGCATACCTTGGCCAAGACCCAGGTGGGTGGCAGAAGCTTCCTTCCTGGGAACGAGATGAAGAGTGGGTGTGGGCATGCCCCAGGAACACATGTAGATCTGCGCTGTCCTTTCCTCTCCACTGACTTTCAACACATTTTCATTGTCCTCTCTGTGCCTCCTGTCTGTCTGTCTGTCTGTCCATTCATCCATCTGTCTATCTGTCCACCTATTGTCTCAGGGGCAGTGCATCTGGCAAGACTCCACTTAGTACACCCCTCAAACCTTCTCCACATCTCTGACCTTAGCTTACTCTGGGGCCAGCCAGCCTCTACCACCCTCCTCATCTGCCTCCACTGCCTGGGTTAGGAATAACTGTCTTTTCAACCCCTCCACATTCCTCCTACTCCCCCCCCCAAGGGTGCTCTCTATTTTCTTCCTTGCCCCCAGCATTTTGCTTCCCTCCCTCCTTCCTTCCATGACCATCTATCCCTCTCCATCCCATCTTCGGAGCCCATCAGTGCCTGGTAAGTACAGTGAGAGAGGCACCAGCATCCTGCTGTTCACAAGCATCCCAGGGGGACCTAAGCAGAGGTGATAGGTGGGTGACAGGGCATTCTGAGGAGAGGGCTGGTGTGAAGGCACAGGGGTCCTGATGTCCCTACTGACCAGATAAAGCACCTCAAAAAGGACTCATTGTGGCGGAAGTTGCTGGTTGTGGCACCTGGCAACTCCAAGGGGTACATTCTTTGCTTTTGAAAGCTTCCTGCCACCATTAGCACACAGCAGGCCCATTTAGAAATCAGAGCCTAACTTCTAAGTTTTGAGGATTCCCACAAATTGCTGCACACAACACCCTCATAATCCAGGAGAAGGCATGTGCTCACGAGAACCAGGACCTGCCCAGGACCTCATAGGCAGCTAGGCCTGGCAGAGTGGACATTAGTTCACCATCCCCATCTCCTTGGAACCCTTCAGAAGACCAGAGTTGCTGGGAAGGAAGGCAGGGTGAAGGCCACGACAGAGCTCCCCTGAACAACATGCAAGATTGTGTAAGGTGTTTTGACCACAGTGTCCCAACTTGCCCTAGAGGTTACAAGGTTTCCCTAAGGAGGAGAACTCACAGTTCCATAAATGAGGAATTTTCCATCCCCTACACTTGCTCCAGGCCAGTCTCCCTTTCACCCCTGAGAACTCATAGGACTGTGCCTGCAGCTCTCGGGGCACTGGAA